AGTGGGGCTTGTAACCCCCTAGCATATGATGAATATGCTAGTTCTTTCTGTTGCCAAATGTGATTTTGGGCAAGTCTCCATGACCGTAAGTGTTTTCTGTAGTAGCAACATAATACAGAACATTCTGTTGGATTCATTTGCTGTTGATTATGTTGCTGTCTTCTTTCTTTAGTTTTATTTTGTAGTTAATTCTTAGCTTTAATTAGTAGATTTATAAGCAGTATTTATGTTTCTTGATCATAAGCTTAATTGGAAGATATAGAAGCACTGTTTTTGTAGGTTAGTCATATAAGTATGTTATGTTGTGTTTGGGACATTGTGTTGCTGAGAAAATATGCAATGAGGGAAAGAAAAGGAGACTGCAAGTCTATTTGGGTTTTTTTTTGTGTGTGTGTGTGTGTGTGTGTGTGTGTGTGTGTGTGTGTGTGATGTATTTGTGCTTGAAGAAGATAAATAACTGCTAATTGTTGCTTATTTCGTGTAAGTAGTAGATCTATAAGCACGGACTATGCTTGGTTGCTGAGAAAATAAGTTCAATGAAAATAAGGAAGAAGGAAACTGAAATGCTAAAATCTTTCCTTAATTTTATTTTTGATTTCCCAAAATTGACAACTTACCATATGCCCTTATGGTTTTGGATAAACTATATTGACAAAGTAGTTTACGATTCTAGTTTTTAAAGGGCAGTTATAGTTGCGCTATGCAATTATGAATTCCTCATTTATTTGTCAACATTCTTGTACACTCACAATGTTGAGTAGCAACAGCCAAAATCCTCATTTGGGATCGTTTTTGTACACTCACAATTTCGAATTGCTTTTTTTTTTTTTCAAGAATTGTATTTGAGGGATGGAACAACAAAAAAAGTTTGGTCTATGGAGTTGTGAATTTGTTTTGGTCTTTTTATTTTGTTTAAATATGGGACAATGGTGTTTTAGCCAATCGCCGAAACATCCCCAACTATTCACACCCCCAAAACATCGCGTTCAACTCTCTGTCTCCCACTCGCTGCTCCTCACCTTGCTGATCACCTCCACCTCTATCGCTGTTAGAGTTGCCAATCGCCGCTAGTGGTACCGATCATCACCGCCACCGCCACCGCTAGCCCTACCCTCCTCTTAGATTGCCTCACCGCTCGGCAATTTGGTAAGTTTCTTTTTCTTTCTCTTTGCTTTCTCTCTCCCTCTCTCTCTCTCTCTCTATGCCTTTTGTTATGCTATCTTTGAAAAAAGTATTGATTTAGCTTAAAATATGAATGTAGGGTGTTTGGTTATATTTGATGAGCATTTGTGAAAAAAATATAAATGTACTAAAGTTTAGGAATGTTGCTTTAGTAGTTACTTTGCAATTTTTTTAGATTTTTCTCTCAAAATATCAAATAAAAAAAAATGTTATATATAGTGTTGCTTCAATAGTAACTTTGCTTTTGTTAGATTGTGGCTTCACAGCATTGGTTTTTAAATGATGGTTTGCAAATCCTTAGCCACTATATTTCATAGTTTTTGAAGCAGATTTAATGCCTTTGTCTTTGGCTCTTCATGATAGTGTTGAGTTCACTGGTTTTTGCTGTTCTAAATAAACAAATTCTTTTGGTAGCCCTTCCTACAGCTAGGAAGGCACCTCTTTAGGCAAGTAAATTCTTCTCTACTTAGTGAATTAAAGCTTGAATTATGGTTATTATAGTTATAACAATTCTTGTGTTTTTTAGATTCTTTGTTATCTTAATTAATTGATGTGTATCGAAATTTGTAGGTACCAAAAGAGTATTGAGCTCCTGATCTTGAAGCTTCCATTCAAGAGGCTTGTTCATGAAATTGCTCGAGACTTCAAGGTAATTGAATGGTCGCAATAGATAAACAGTGTCATATTTATCGTAATTGTTTAGGGGTTTTTTTTTTTAAATGTTTTTGATTAGTAATGTTTTTGTTAATTCTTGCCATTGTATGTGAATTTTTGTTTGTATATTTGTGTTTGTGGCTTAAAATACACATTTTACACTTATGTCCAAACTGAACATTAATAGGTCATGTTGGATTGAATAGGATAAGAAATACATATTAAGCCGATAGAGATTCAAATATTGTTGGAGTTTGAAAATGTTGAATGTACATTATTGTAATTTGAGTATCTCCCTCTCTGCTAGGAGAAATTTTTCTCTCTAGTTATACGTTGTCATATATCTCCCTCATTGCATATGTATCATTTGACTACTGCTTTTTCCTTCTTTTTTTTTCTTCTTCTCCCATTTAATCAAATAGAAAAATGCTATGAAATCCACTTAAGTACCTCTATTTATCCTGAAAGAGAGTTATCTAGTTGAGATTAAATTTGTGTAATGTGGAGTTGATATGTAGAATAATTTTAAATCACAAGATGACAATTTTGGACAGTTAAGTCTAGATTTGTATTGTAGTATTACTGAATCAAATAACCTAATATCAATGTATTTTCTGTCTCATACTTTTTGATGTCTTAGAGAGCCCTTTTTTTTTAATTTATAAAAATTATGTTTTCTTTTCTTCTTTTTAAAATCTTAATTGCACACCGAGTACAATGCTCTTGTTCAATTTTTTCTTTTCTTTTTGGGTGTATCACATAACTCTTCTTTTTTCTTCTAAGGTGTTTTAGAACTGTGTGTGTGTGTGTGTTCAATCTACTTTCCCAAATCTATCTCTATTTATTTTTTCTTACTTTTCTTTTTATGAATTTTTACTTGAACACAAAATTGGTTAGTTTCAAAGCAGTTCATCTCCATCTCTCTTTTGTTTTTAATTTTTAATGAAATGCAAAGTTTTTCCTACTGAGTTTTCTGTTGTATATTTCTTATAAAACACGGTTCTTTATATTTTTAACAATTTTTTTTAATTTCTTTGTTTTGGTATAATTTAGACTCATTTTGTATTTACTTCTCAAAAATGTTAATTCACATACAAATTGTTACGAGTAGGATGTTATGATCGTTGACCTATAACCCTTTTTTAATGACTCAACATAGAATCCCAATTTTAGGAGAGAAAGATCTAAATTAACTTGAAATGCAGTAGTCAAATAAGAACTTCAGTTAATTTGACTGAGTGTATAACACTTGATAGAATAGAATGACAAAATGGTTCAATATATGTTCAAAAAATCGAAAACCCATCTTCAGTCAGTCCCATTTCCTTTGAAGAAAGACTTGATTTTGTTTTTCCAGGTGTAATTTATGAGATTAGGTTAATTGTTTGTGTTATTTAATGTTTTTGTGGTTGAATCTATGTTGCTCTAGACTTGGTAGGTCCACTACACTACAAGAAAAGTAGGCTTAAAACACTGAAGCATTTGCAACAGCACACTAGTCGCCAAGTTTTATTATTTACTTTTTTTTTTTTTTGGTTCAATATGATTGCAGTTCAGCAGATATGACAAGATAAGTGGAAGAAGCCGAGGGTTTGGAGATCCACTGTCCGTGGTGGAACCAAGAAGTAGACACTCGAAAAACAAAATTTGTGTTGCTTTGTTATATAGATTTTGTTAACTTCAAGGCCTCTAGGGTTTGGAGATCCACTGTCCGTGTTGTTAAAACTTATGTTGGTTCAAATGATTGGAATCTATCCACACAAAAAAAGCAAAATAGTTTTATATATATATAATGTATAAATTGTTGTTTTTTGCATAGTGTTCATGTGAGGAATGAAACTTTAATGGGTTTTTAATATTTGAGCATTCCACTTTCATAAAAATGAAAGAAGGGTTCTATAATTGTAAGCACATTGTGTGAAGAGGACTGGAGTTCTGCATTTTTATGAACACGAGCTTCAAATTTTATGATCCAAACACATCCTCAAGGAAAGAAGTTGATACGGATGCATGAGGTGTTGTGTTTGAATTCATTGTGACAATCCAATATCTATTTGCCTGCAGGTCAGGTCAGCTCTGAAGTGGGAGATAAAAAGTAGAGAAAATCAACGGAGAAAGATAGGTGTTATGTTTATGTGAGAATGGTAGATCATGCTTGAGATATGTTCTTTTTAGGTTTCCCCTAGCAGGATCCTTGCTATGATCTGCCTTTGTGGCTTTGTATTATGTTACCTTTGTCTCATAGAAAAGTTATGTATGTTTTGTTCAATTTCCTTCCCTTATTTTTTTTGCCTTTTCCTTTTCCTTTTTCTTTTCAATAGAAATATATATCCAGAAATACCTTCCAGTGCAATATACCTGCAGTTCTTTATGTGATGATGTTTTTCCTGGGTATCGGTTGTGGTCTTCCTTTTTGGTGCTATTGTTTCAGACGTTGGCTGAAGATAAAAAAGAATGTCTTCAATTAGTCTTTTCTAAAGGAGAGAAGAATACAGGCATACATTTTTTCTTTTCTTTTTTGTTTAAATGGCCATTTTGAACAACAGGAGTTCCCTAGGGGTGGTCTACATTGCGGTGTGGATTTGACTGGTAAAATATACTCAATTTTCCACAACTGAATACAAGTAAATGTGTTAGAAGGTTTTCCACAGAAAATTCGACTACTTGGTATTGTATTGATTTCAATCTGTTTTGATGTTTGCAATGTGTATGGCATATTTGGCAGATTTCGGATTTGCTTAAGTTGAAAGTCTTAACTTCATGTATGAAGTTAATGTATTATGAGATTAATTTATACTCATGTCAATTATTTGAATCATTTATTTCATATGATAAGATGTGAAGAACATGCAAAAAATATGTTGCTCGGGGAAACCTAAATGGAACATTTCAAATCTATTGCAATAGTTCCCATTGTTGTGCATTGACCTTGTAACAGTTGCCATTATCCTGGCAATAGTGTCACCCAAAGCCCTCTTAGCTCTTTGCACTCCAGAAAAAACTAACTCAACCCACAGTTCCATAGGAAAATCTCAGAATCAAATATAGAAACAACAATATTAACAATCACTCTGTTGTCAACTAAAAATAACATCTTCAACCACCTTTGTGGTAACCTTAAAAAAGAACTGTAGAGTGGTAACATCACAATAGTCACAGGAGCATATTTTAATTTCCCCTGCTTCCTTGATTATAATTTTTACTTGCATATAATTAAAAAATATACGCTTCTCATAATTAACTACCCAAAATAGGACGGCTCATTTAGTAAGGTTACATCTATCAAATCACATGTCATGTATCAATCTCATCTATTTATCAAATATCTTGTGTATCAATCTCATATGTTTATTGAACATCTTGAGTATTTTCTGTCCCTAATGAATTAACTGCATATCGGCAACATTTCTCCAAGACAGCATCATGAACCTGCAAAATATCCACCACTCATCAACCAAGGAGAAGATTGGAAAATTTTAAATATTATGGCCATAACAAATAAAATAAATAAATAAAAGTACCTGCAAAATAAAAAATAAAATAAAAACAAAAATACAGGTTCCAGGATCAGAAAGCTATAAATGCAAGATATCGTGAAATAGACAACACATCCAATGGCTGTTATGTGTCCAATCCCATATACTTCACAGAATTTCAATGGCCCTTTTGTGTCCCATGAACTCTTGGAAACCTGGTGAACCAGAGTTAGCATCTATGCATGATAGATTAGATGTTCCAAACTAAATGGGACCATTAAGTTACCACACTTAACCAGATTGTGAAATGGACATGCCTGCCCAACAAATTCTTGAAGAACAAGCCCCCGATTGGGATGCTAGTGAATCTATGGATATATCTCTTTCATAAAATAAAAAATATATATTTTAACATAAAAGGACTTCAGAGGAATGAGTTCATCATAATGTGTTCTAAATGCCTGTGAATGACCAAACCAGCCATTTAAGATTCCTAGGAGCTGATGAACCATGAAGTTAATGAGAAATTGTTCAACAAGCTAGAAAGATAAATCCAATGAAGTGATTGGGAATCTTTAGAAGATTAGTCAGTATAAAATTGTGATTGGGAATCTTCAGAAGATTAGTCAGTGTAACATTGCTTTTCTTAAACATGAACTACTCTGTGTCTGTCAAGTAGCCACATTGATCTGGGTTTATAGCACGTACATAAATGATGTTACGATCATTAATAAATTCTTTATTCGTAGTTTAGTGGTTGTTTTGTTTAATGATTTTGAAAATATATATATTTGAGGAGAGAAACTCACGTCGATGGCAGGAAATGACTATGACTTCATAAAGCATATAACTTTAGCTGTGCACTTTGAAGCATCTCAGATGTGGGAACAATTGAAGCAGTTCTTCACGACTTTGTCTCTGTGAGGGAAATATATACACATCAAAAAAAGGAAAGAAAAAAAGAAACAAACAACAGGAGAATCTACTAGTGTGTTACACGAAAAAAATAAATAATAATAAATAATAAATAAATAAGGGCAAAATACAAAGCCCACAAAGCCGTAGTTAAACTCTTGTTCCAATGTCAAAAGTGGCAAACGCCAAGCAAATCAAATTGATAACCAAAATAGGAAAAGCTATAAAAAACAACAAATCTAATGGAATTTCTATGGTGACTTAGAAGAATTTGAGTGGTGTAAAAGTAGTTAGGTTGACTGATTTGTTCAACAAAATATTACAAACTAAGAAGATGGTTGATGATTGAAAGAAAAATGCTCTTGGTACATGTATATAAGAAAAAATGTGATATGATATACCTTGATGCCAATGCATCCATTCACATCGAGGGTTGTAAGTGTGTTTGAGCAGAACCTTGACAGGGTTTCCAAGCACTTATCAATAACACCAATAATACCAAACAAGCTGCGGTTTTTCCATCCATGAAATCAGTAACAGATGTTATATCAAGAGGAAACTTTTTAATAGCCAGGAGATGACTGCACGACCATACGATTTCACCATAACAGTATGGAATGGCCAATGCTTATCAATCTTGCTAGTACTCTGTATTTGATACTAGATGTGCATGTTGCACTAAAATTGTTTCAGCAAGGTTGCAATAAAATTCAATCAATAAAAAATTTGAACAATATGACAATGACTATCGTGTCATAGCTCAACTCAACTCAACTCGACAAGGCTTTATCCCAAATCCCAATTACTTTAGTGTAAGCTACATGGATCCATTTCCTTGAATTGATTATGATAAATACAGCTGCATAAATTACAGATTTCATTTTAAGTTCATTCCAAATTATAGTTCAGCTTTCATATTTTCTGCATGCCATGTTCCAATAACTTGGGTATGGATGTCAGAGGTGTGTATGTGCCTAAAATCGGATTTATCTATTTCCAAATTTAAGAAATGAGGGACACAGCTAAATGTGATATTACTTAATGCTCTTTTGTTTTTGTTTCTAATGCTAAAATGGTGTTTTTATGTAACATAGATCATCAACCACCGATACTATACCCAATTTGAAGCAACAATATCCAATTCACATAATAAGGGAGTTTTGACTTCATGGCATAATCGCATGGTATGCTCTTAAAAGCTTCTAAAGGCACAAACCAGACATAAAATGCATCAATTTTTCACATTCAATAATATTAGTCTCATCAAGATTTAACCCCAAGGGGCCGAGTGGTAAAGACATAAGAATAAAATCCAAGGTCTCAAGTTTGAGTCTCCCAAGGGGCCACTAGAGGTTTGTGGTTGTTAACTTCAGGCCATATGCTTTCAACGTTCAATGCATACAAAATACGATTTTAAAATGGAATCCAAAAGGCTTTGACTAAAAATTAAAATAAAACATTTCTACAACTTACACTAGAATGTTGAATTGGAGCACAAATTCCCATTAGTCCACATCCAAGATGCTCTATACCATCTTCAAATAATTGGACTATGTTATAAGTCAATTTTTACCTTGTTCTTTCAATAATCAAACAATAACAACATGTTTTCTGTAAGAAAAAAGCACAAAATCTGCAATAGCACAAATGAATAGAACATGCAAGTGATGCAGACATATTTTCCAAAACCATAATTAATTTTTTTTTTCTTGCCATACCCATTGAAAGGTTTTAATTTGCAATTGCAATCACTGCCAAACTTCCAAAGCATGGGTAAGTTCTGTCAATGGCCTATTGGCATAATTGATGAGTCATAGGTACTAACATTTCAATAAGAATAGTTGAAAACAAAAGAAATAACAAATGGCATACTACCACAAAAGTTGCTATTTAAAAGCAACTTTAACTTAGAAGTCAAGAGAGAATGTCAAATAATGTTTCCCTGAAGAGTAGGTAACACAAAACAATTTACTAAGGGCTATTAGTTTTGGGTCCTCCAGGTACCACTCCTCATTTCCCCATTATGCTACCTAATTAGACACTGCAGATTCACTGTAAATCTAAAATTGGTAAAAAAAAAAATTAATACAAGAGATATAATTACTAATTTATTAAATATATGATTTCAAGGTCTAAAGATCGATACAAACAATCAAGAAAACTAATGGGTATAAGGGTAGATTATATGTATGCATATATACATACCTATATGCATATGATATGCTATCTCTATGTGTGTATAAATATATAAACAATGCCCAAATAGTACACATTAATATGTGTTGGGATGGAAAAGATTGGGTACACACCTAACCTTTGACATAGTACACAGAGTGGCTGCCTCGAGACTTAAACTCATAACTTCAAGGTTATTAGGCTAAGATTTTTACCATTGAACCAATGGTCACCCCTGTGTGCGCGCGCGCGCATATATATATATATATGTATATCTTAAATATACAAATATGAGAAATTAACACTTCTCATAGGAAAATAAGTTTCCAGTAAACCAAGAAATGGGTAAACAAGAAGTATTATCATTGAATCTGTAAACAATGTTCAAGATTATCATTATCAAAGGGTTCAATAAAACCACAATACACATACACACAACGAAATGATTTTCTAGATAATAATTTTTGAAGAATTCATCAAGAAAATTGGTTGCACCTGTCAGATTTTAACCATTGAACCAATGGTCACCCCTGTGTGTGTGGGCGCGCATATATATATATATATATGTGTATCTTAAATATACAAATATGAGAAAGTAACATTTCTCATAGGAAAGTAAGTTTCCAGTAAACCAAAAAATGGGTAAACAAGAAGCATTATCATTGAATCTGTAAACAATGCTCAAGATTATCATTATCAAAGGGTTCAATAAAACCACAATACACATACACACAACGAAATGATTTTCTAGATAATAATTTTTGAAGAATTCATCAAGAAAATTGGTTGCACCTGCCTTCAACTAGCCTAAGTTGAAAGAAAATAATTCATCAAAAAAAAATTATTTATATTTTTTGGAAATTTTTGATAAAACTCTAATTTGAACGAGAGTGTTAAGATGAGTTGGGTTTTCCCATATCACACTAATCTTGCACACAACTTTCAAATCCAAAATTTCATATCAGGAAGTACTAAACAATCCAAGAAAGCTCTTTTGATTCTAACATATTAATCAGAAACTCAAACAAGGTCTACAATTTCTTACATATCTATTGGTTTTCATAAAAAAATCATATGATCAAAACAAGACCCAGATAACTTATTCTATCAAACAACACCATTTAAGCTCGATCCACAGATCATCTTAAGATAAGTAAAAACACCAATTAGATTATATTATTTTATTATAAATTTTCTTTTACACATTATTATGTTAAAATTAGTGTTTGTTTTATATGTCTAGATTTTTTATTTTACTTGTGTCTAATAAAAATTTGGATCTGCCAAACTTTAAAAAAAAAAAACTAAAACTTAAAAGTAGTTTTGTAGCTTAAAAACAGAGAAAATTTATTTTATACAAAAATTTACATTGTAAAAAAAACTTGTTTAGATTTTTCTCCTTAAGTACACTTTTAGATTTTCTCAAAAAAGCTTGAGCTGGGTCGCCTGTGTGTTTAATCAGCATGTAGACGTATAATGCTATAGCAAAGAGAAAGCAATTAAACAAATGCCAATATGATTGAGAACTGATGTTAATTTTGAATGTGAACAAAACTTAATATCCTCAGCTATTCACTTTTTAGGGTTAGGGTTTTGAAATCAAAGCCCTATCTTCGGTGGTTACAGATGTTAATTTTGACTGAGAACAAACCTTAATATTAGATATTCAATAAGGGTTAGGGTTTTGAAATCAAAGCCCCAATGGCACAGCTATCTTGGGTGGCTGTAAATAGGAACATACCTGACCTACAGAAGAGAGCTCTCGTAAATATTCAATTCGACTAGAAGGGAAAATATTTGCTGACAAACCCATGGTGGCGACGTGAACAGAGTGATGGCTTGTGAAGAAGATGTCGACAACGGTGGCGTGGATCGCCGACGGGGCTGGTGGTCTTTGGCCATGGTAGAAGCTTCGGCTATGGTGGAAGAAGACATATAAATACAAAATAAAAAAATAAAAAAAAAAACAGAAAACATAGAAGTTAACACACCAAAGCTGAAAGCTACTCATCCAGTTTCCAGGCTTAGTTCAGATTGAACATTGCAACCAACAGAATTGCAGGCTTGTTTCCCACAGATAGGTTCACTCATTGACATTGGAAACATTGCTTGGACATTTCGTTGAGAAATGGTATTATCCAATTCTGTAAGCAATTGGGTGCTGTTGGGAAAACTAGGTTGTGATGATTCCTTCAAACATTTGACTTCTACACTGTCATGAGCCGATCCTTCTAACAACGAAGGATTGACAGCCTCAGCCTTAGAAGTAGTTGAGAGGCAAAGTGACTTTGAGTCCTCTTCCTTTTCAGGAGCTGCAGAACCTGATGAATTAAACAATTTAACGTAACAAGACAAAGAATACAAAGAAGAAAGAAAAATGATATGACATATATACAAATCAAACCTTCACATGCAGGCCTTGAACTCTCTCCCTCAGGCAAATGCCAAGATTTTGGTTTTCCCAATTCACCATCCAAGCCATTCTTGTTATTGTTTGGGAACATATTAGCCAAGGCATACAGAGTCTCTACCACTTCTTCCTCATCTTTTGTGATTGGCCGGCTTGGAGATTCATCTAGATCTTCTGGTTGCTGCAAATCCAATTCCGGTGTTAAACACAAAATGGCAAATTGAGGAAAATTGTAAAACATAATCTGAAATTCGGAGGAAGAGATTACTACTACATTCAGTCTGGATTTCTTTATGCCCGGTAATTCAACTCCATTGGTCCCATGGTTTGTCTCTTTCTTATCTGGGAATGGTGGAGAAATGGATTCACGGTTGCGCTTCTTCATGGTTGTAAATGTAAAAGAATAATTCCTTAACCTTATTAAAATCCAATCTAGTATAAATTATTGAAATCTAAAAATCTATCGAGAGCATTCAATTTTCAATCTTTCTTTTTTTTCCTTTTATTTTCTGATTTAGACAAGATGTGATAAATAGATAGATGAAAATTGCAGAATACATAAAGTATATAATATCAAATAAAAATTACAGAATCTTTCAATCTGGAAAAGAAAGGAAAAGCAAAGGAACAGTTCGGCAACAAAGCATCAAAGATGAGGAAAGTTCCAATTAGACCAACCAGATAGAGCCGAATTAAAATCTATGGGCTCCAACTAACTAACCCGAAAATCATTCAAAAAACTCCAATTGACAAGAAATCTGTGGGATATCATCACCCCATGTGAGGGGTGATCCTCCATGTGTTGCAAGGTTGGCCATGTTAGGAAGCCAACACACATGAGCTGGCCATGTGAAACCAGCACACAAGATAGCTGGCCATATGCAAGGCCAGCCTCTCCATCTCCATTCTGATTGACTATAAATGGAGGCTAAGGGGAGGGTTTGAGATAGTGCAGAGCAAGCCACAGAGAGTGAGATATGTGAGGCGGAGAGACCGTCTCCCTCGGTGTGAGCGAGGGAGACGGGTGAGTGTGTGAGTGAGGAGAGTGTGAGCTCCTCCTCTATTGTAATCTTTCTGTAATATCTCCATTGTTATAGTGATAACCGGCTACTCTCCCGTGGACGTAGGCATTGAGGCCGAACCACGTTAAATATTGTGTCTCCTTGAGTGTGGGTGTGTTTTTCTGCATGGAATAATTTCTATAAGGTCTTGGGCGGGATCCCAGATCCCAACAAGTGGTATCAGAGCCTCGTTGGTGGCGTTTCGGAACAAAAACAGCGTTTTGTTTGAAACTGTCCAGAAATCGTATTGCTCGAAATTAGGTTTTGAGTATACCAGGAGCAAGGGCTCGAGAAGAGGAGTCCAACCATGTAAAGAAGACACCCAGAGGAGGAGTCACGCGCTCTCACGCGCTGCCTAAAAAAGGCAAGTGAGGCCCAGTCTCGGCACGCGCCACCACGCGCCGTGAGGCTGTCGGCGCGTCGGCCCAGTCTCAGCCACGCGCTCCACGCGCGGACGAAGGAAGAAGGTGAGTGGGAGCAGCGCGTGTCCACGACGCGCACGCCATGTGGGCCCACGTCAGCACTGACATGTCGGCCACGTCAGCAGCCACGTTAGCAAGAGTTGCCACGTGGTTGCCACGTCATCAGCCAGGTCACCGCCACGTGGCCTGTCACGTCATCGACACATGGCCATAGAGCATTGCCACGTCAGCACAGGTGTGCCACGTGTCTGCCACGTCAGCAGTGGTGTTGACCAGTCAACCAGAGGCAGGGAGGGATCCAGTGCTACGCGGCAAGGGTATAGCCGCAGGAGGAAGAATCCAGTGTTTCGCGGCTAAGGTGCAGCCGCAGATCTGAGGCGTACAAAATGTTTTGGCTAGATCGAAGCCATTTGGAGTCCATTTTTGGTGATCCAATAGTGGTTTCCGACTATTTGGAGTATTCCGGACACATCCGTACGGTCAGATTTTGGAGACGGAGTTTCTGTAAAAATAAGGCAGATTAAAGTGGCAGACGGTGTCAGGGGCAGTGGACGGAATATTCTGTTAGAACACGGAATATTCCCTGAACTTCTGAAAATTGCAATTTGGCCCAGAATTTTCAGAAAATTATGGTGTGGCCCAGCTTTCGGGGATAGTTTTCAGTGAGGTCCCCGAAAATGCAGTGAAGGTTGGTCCTAGCTAAACGGACCGCTCCGGACGCAACCGTGAGGTCAGAATAGTGAAATTCTGAACGGTTTGGAAAGATTATCAAAACATGGGTGTTTGTCATCTTCAATACTCGAAGGAAGGTTACTGGATATTGTGGAACGCTGCAGATTCACTGAAGAGGTTAGAATGGGCAGATTCTGACCAGATTGGACAACCAGATACAGATTGAGATAGATCATTGAAGACCAGAGGAGATCAGGCTTGATCAAATGGCAAATCAAGGGAGATCAGGATTGGTCAGGGGTGATCAGAGGATTGCAAAGATGATTATCTCCGGAGTTCGTTGGAGGATCTGGTTCAATCAAAAGAGAAGACCATTCATCGACGGATAGATGATTTGGCAACCAGTACAGGCTCAGGGAAATACTGTGGCTGTTGGAGCTACTATATATGAGTAGGTACTAATGGTATGTGAACATGTAGAACAATAGTTGCAGAGGAGCATCCTAAGCGCAGAAGTACAATTGCAAACATGCAACAGTGCAAGGGTACGCTAGAGTGTCGTACAGAGGCGCGAGAAGAGTGTGCAGCAGCAGGTTGGTGACAGTTCACAGGAACTTCCAGACAAAGAAATTGAGACAGGTAAAACGCAAGAGTGCGTGCCAAGGAGTGGCAAGTCTTATTTCTCTATGGTGGTTTCTTTAGTTCCATGGCAGCAGATGATAGAGTTGATGCAGATCTCTCAAGCAAGCTTGACGCAGGGAGACCAGAAGCCATAGGTGCGAGCACTATGCACGGAGTTGCATAGTGGTAACTTGTACAGACCGTGGAAGTTGTCTTGGCAGAAGGGCTAACTGTCAAACATCAGTACGGACAAGTGAGACAGAACCGAACATCAGGGATTGCAGCACAGACAACGGGCGTATGAGATCGCTGGGAAGTTGTTCTGAAGTGCAGAAAGCAAAGGCTGGTTGTTCAGAAATAAGCTCCGAGCAAGCGTAACAAGACAAAGAATGCAAAGAAGAAAGAAAAATGATATGACATATATACGAATCAAACCTTCACATGCAGGCCTTGAACTCTCTCCCTCAGGCAAAGGCCAAGATTTTGGTTTTCCTAATTCACCATCCAAGCCATTCTTGTTATTGTTTGGGAACATATCAACCAAGGCATACAGAGTCTCTACCACTTCTTCCTCATCTTTTGTGATTGGCCGGCTTGGAGATCCATCTAGATCTTCTGGTTGCTGCAAATCCAATTCCGGTGTTAAACACAAAATGGCCTATTGAGGAAAATTGTAAAACATAATCTGAAATTCGGAGGAAGAGATTACTACTACATTCAGTCTGGATTTCTTTATGCCTGGTAATTCAACTCCATTGGTCCCATGGTTTGTCTCTTTCTTATCTGGGAATGGTGGAGAAACGGATTCACGGTTGCACTTCTTCATGGTTGTAAATGTAAAAGAATAATTCCTCAACCTTATTAAAATCCAATCAAGTATAAATTATTGAAATCTAAAAATCTATCGAGAGCATTCAATTTTCAATCTTTTTTTTTTCCTTTTATTTTCTGATTTAGACAAGATGTGATAAATAGATAGATGAAAATTGCAGAATACATAAAGTATATAATATCAAATAAAAATGACAGAATCTTTCAATCTGAAAAAGAAAGGAAAAGCAAAGGAACAGTTCAGCAACAAAGCATCAAAGATGAGGAAAGTTCCAATTAGACCCACCAGATAGAGCCGAATTAAAATCTGTGGGCTCCAACTAACTAACCCGAAAATCAATCAAAAAACTCCAATTGACAAGAAATCGAACAAAAAGTGGAAAAATTTATATTCTCGTTTCACAAATTACACACCTGACCGTAGCTTCCGAGGAACAGAGGCATGATCAACTGTGTTGCATTCATGAAAAAAATTTTGGGGAAACCTAAATCTCTTGCTAATACTTGTCGTGTTACGAATCTCATCTTCGAATTCAGACCCAGCACAACCCATTTCGCCGTTTTCGTTACTAGAATTCACTTTACCAACAACGCTCAATCTTCTCATTCTTTCTTTCTTCAATTTCTTCGAGAAAACAGTGCCCTCAAAATTATTATTCATACCTTCAAATCAAAACAAACATTCACAAGAAATTATATGAGTTTTGAGAAAAATCGAATAAGGGACAACAAAGAACAACCCAGAACAGGGCAGATAATAAGAAGACACCCAATATCAGCAAATGCTTATCTCAAAACCAGGAGAAAAAAAAAATTAAAAAAATTAAAAAATAACTAAGAATAAACAGGTAAAGACAAACAGCCATTAATGAGTTTTGTTGTTTAGCTACAACAAAAAAAACGTAAAATTCAACATGTAAATTTGTCGTCAAATGATTACCAGATTGCTTAATAACTTGTGGATTCGCAAGCGAGGACCGACTCGCTCCTCCACGCCTCATGTCTCGATTCTTGTCCATTTCCTAGACGATAACAGAAACACAAACATCGAATTGAAAACGGCTTCAACAGCCCAAAATTCGATCGAACCCACCTCAGATAATGCTTCCAAAAACAAACCCTTCAGAGAAAGGTGAAGAGCAAGAGAGAGAGAGAGGCCAATCGTTCTTCTCTCGCTATGGTGGAAGAGAAGAGAAAGGTGAAGAACGGTGGCCCCGACGCTTGACCGTTGGACTTCGACAATCTCTGCAGCTTCGGCTATGGTGGAAGAGAGGAGGGAGGAGAAGAGAAGAGCAAGAGCACGAACCAGACCAAGAGAGGGAGGCAACTGACTTGGGACCGTTGGACTTCTGATTTTGACAACCGGTTAGACCGGTTGCCAATTCAAAATTAAATTATTAAAATAATTTAATTTTATGATAGTTATAAGATAATATGGTATATATAAATAATTAAATATAACTAAGTTATGAGTTAATATGAGAATAGTTATGATTTATATGATATTAGTTATGATATCAAATCACATAATTTCATAACTAATGTATGGTACATCCAAATGTACAATAGCATCACCCACCAAACAGTTCTAATGTAATGCTTATTCACTAAAAATTTTATTTATAATATATTTTTTATCAAATTTTTTTATTTATGAAAATGAGTTCGCCCCAATTGAACAAAGGGAGCAATGCATTCAATGTTGGGTCCCCATTTCTATCAACTTTGGAATCCTTTAAAGAAGATTTCGAGGGCCTGATTGGTTCACCTGAATTTGGGTTTTGGATTCATTTAACACAGCTTTACGGCCGACAAGAGGACTGGACTATGGGTTCCAGAATTAATGGAGTTATTAAAATATTGTTTCAAATTGATATTAAAATATAAAAGGTTACTTAACTTTGAATATATGTAATTTAAATGTTGAAGACGAAATGTAATTAACTTTTAAAACAATTATGGTAAATTTTTTTTTTAAAGTTTCTTATCAAATGAAAACGTGTGCACAGTTCTAATTAAAACAGAAGAAAATTTTAATCCTTGCCCTCGTAAATTTGACCGGGATAACTCCCTTCTATATCACTATTCTTCATATCTCTCCATACCCTATTTTGTCGATTCTCAGGTCCACAATGATGATTCAAACTGTTTATCTCACATGCCTAGTAATAAAGATGAATTGTGTAAAAAAACTAATTTTATCAAATATTATTAGACATATGAACAATTCAAATCACTATTATAGGCTAAGAGTGGAGTCCACGAAATGAAATGTGAAAAAGGAAAATAGTGGCATGGAGATGAGTCCTTTTCAATACTCCAAAGACAGATTAGGGATATCATTTCCTAATTTCTACAGCATAGTCCACACACGAATTGGTGTTAGATCAATTTTGTACCATCTCATTCTGAGTAGATAGTAAAATATAGTATAGAAAATGGTGTGCTTGTAACCAGACTTCAAAATTCACAAATTTCCATAAACGGTTTCATCCCATGTTTAAGCGTCACCAATGAACCATAAGAGCAAAACAATAATACTATAATTAAAAACAGTAAAAATAAATTTTTTAAAAAAAAGTACAAAACAATCAATTTAAATAAATTTCCATTATCATATACTCTTTTGTAAAACCAATTTGAATCCATCCCCAAAACCCATTTAGGAGAGAAAATAATCTCTCCCCCCACAGTTTCTTGCAACTTGTGCAAGGACTACATTACATGTATACTTCACATTATCATTTACATTAGCAGCCACCTCCTTGGGCGTGACTAAAGGAGCCCCTAACCGTTAGAGAGCCAGAAAGGAAGTGTCTACACGGGCCCTGCAAAAGCAGGAGTGCCTGCAGTATTGCACATGGGAGAACTGGAGGCACCCCTTCAAGATGTTTGAGCCATACCTTGACCCAAACCCAACCGAACCACAACAGGGTCCTAGCGAGCAGAAGCCAAAATCTGCATTGCCCCCATGGAGACTTGAACCCAAAGCCACTTGCTCACCAAACCCTTGGTGGTGAGTGTATGAGGTACCTGAAACTGAAATTGTATGGCATGACTTGTACCAACTGTGAAAGAGGCTTCGTTTCCTTTCTCTCTAGGCATCTAACTGTTTGATTCCTCAGTTCATCAGGGAGCTGCAAGCAAACCTGATCCAGAAGTGCTTCCAAGTCCTTTGCAAAGTCAGGAAGATACCAATCTAACAGCTTTGAAACTATAAACTTGTTTTCTTTTGAAATGCCTATTGCTGCCTGTAAGTAGTCTCGCTTTGCGCCCTCCATTTCGTTCTCAACTTGAGATGCAGTATACACCCTAACCTTCATTTGACAAAATTTGTCTCAGCAATTCATAAACAAGATTGTCTCATAGGAAGATTTCGTATTGACTAAGATTAAAGGAATTGATAATCAGAGGTGGCTTAACCATTAGGTTAGTTAGGCTGTCGTCTAAAGTCCACAAAAAAATTTCAAAAAAATCCTATTGTCAAAGACCCCAATTTTTCAAAGATAGCTAGATAAGGCCTCATTTTAATGTTTAGTCTGAGACTTCCAAAAATCTTAAACCGCTACTGTTGATAATAATAGTAACAAGGAAAATGATTGTTGGGTTGATTAGTCAACCCAAACCGAACACACATTGAGAGGTTATTTAGTCAATGTGTGGTAGGTCCCACAATCTGACCAATCATCCCTCAACCGTCAATATGTATTCAATTTTGGCCTTTGATTAGTCTATACCTATGGTGGTATTCTAACCATGCCATATTGTTTGATACAAATTTTTACTTACAACTTACAAAATAAAAATAAATATTAAAAAAAGTTAATTATTAATAAACAGGGCAGAGAATACTTTTAACTTATGCATTTAGATTATTAGCTTACTAGATATCTATATATTTGAAATGAAACACAAAACTAGCACATAGAGATTCGAAACTTTGCTTGCTGCCGGCGCTCACTGTTGAGCATTAGATGCATTTTTTATATGCCTTTTGTTTTTGTTTTTTTTAATTTCTATCTATTTATAGTGTTACCCAAAAGACAACTTAAGAGGGGTGAATTAGTTTTTACAATTAAAATTAATAATAGCTTAATAAAAATTATGACTAGCACAATAGATAAATATAATTAATGAAATAAAAATAATTAAAACAAATGTGTTAACAACTATGTCAGTTAATGATTTTAGCACAGTAAAAATGTGAAATATAGTTATGACAATTTAAAATAAAATAAAAAGATAAGGGAGAGAGAGACAAACAAATTTATAGTGGTTCGGTTTCAACTCTGCCTGCGTCCACTCCTCAAGGTTCACTTAAGATTTTCCACTATTTTCTAGCTTCACAGGGGTGCTAGCAACCTCTTTACAAATGGAACAATCCTTCACGGATTTTACACAGACTTCACAAGTCTAAACTCTTACAAATCTTAGGTGATTCACAATCACTCTCAAGATTTCAAGAATACAGTGTTTGCAACACTTTTACAAGATGAAATTGTATTTTTGCTTTCAAAGAAAATTTACAATAAATATCTCTCAAAGATAGATATATAAAATGAAGTTTTAATTTTTCTGTAAATCCCACACAGGAAAGATGAGCTTAAAGCTATAAAGCTCAGTGTATAATTTTTGAGAATAGATGTGAGTAATTATAGATCAAAGAATATTTTCAGATTTTTTTGTAACTTATTTACATTAAAGGCTTTGATATATATAATGAAAATTATAACCGTTTATAGCCGTTGTATTCATTTGAATTTATAGCCGTTTATAACTGTTGTAATTATTTGAATTTATAACCGTTTATAGCCGTTATACTTCCATCATTACCAATTTAAATATCTTTCACTCCATTATTACAAATTTAAATATCTTCCACTTGAACCTTTTGAACCTTTTTGCCTTTTGAACCTTTATAGCCGTTTATAGCCGTTATTCTTCCATCATTACTAATTTGAATATCTTCCACTTGAACCTTTTGAACCTTTTGACCTGCTGTTGTGCTAAGCTATTTGAACCATTTTTTTGGGCTGTTTGAACTCCTGATTTAATCAAATATTAAATACATTCTAACAACATTTAGGATAAAGGTTTATGTGAGAAATAATGGTACAAAATAAATATTGATTATATTTTTCTCTCTCAAATAAATCAATAAAATAAATTTTGATTCAATTGTTCTCTTTCAAATAAATCATCAAAATAAATTTTGATTAAAATATAATTAAATAAATCATCAAAATAAATTTTGAATTCTATTTTTTTCCTTCAAATAAATTAAAACATAATTAAATAAATCTTCAAAATAAATAAGTCTAACATATAGAAATGGAGGGAATTTTACTGTTGAATCTAGTCATGAAAATTTTGTTGAACAGTTAACAAAATTGACTTTTTTAATCATCAAACTTATCCTAAATGTGTGACAAACTTACAGCTGGGGAGGACGAACTTCCACATGAAAGTGCGAATGTAATCAAGGGTTCAGACCACTCCAATCCGAATATACTGCATGCTTTCTTTTTTGGGTGAATAAATGCTGCATGCTTTCATTTCCTCATTTCTTGAAACTTTCAGACAAGTCTATTGAAATCAAGGAAAGTGCAAATGTAACCAAGGGCTAGCAAGTTAACAATTTTCCCCGATTAAGAACAAATCTTTTATAAGGATTTTACCCGCTTCTGAGTATATAAACAGAAACAAGTAAATACAGAAAAATGTGAGAAGAATGCCACTTACATATTTCAAGTGGTAAGGCAACCTCAAGACAAAATGCTCAGTCATAATTGCATTTAGCAAGTGTCCCCCCACAGTTATCGTTGCCTGAGCGCAGCATAGTTGTAGTTATGCCGGTTGTGAAACTTAAAAGGTTATAATTAACGGTATTAGTCTGAAACAGAAGACACTTGCACTGAATTAGCAGCTTAAAATTTTGAACTTCCAAGTCTGATTGAGTTCTTGACAGTTCAAGCTGATCCATAACACTTGATTGACATTATGTATCCATTATTGGTTGATAAACAAACGGATGAAAGGTTATTTGTTCAAAAAATGAGAGGAAAGGAATGAAAATGATGAGAATGATGAGAAGATCTCACGTTTTGCATCAGTGCTACGACCATTTCAGGAGTTTCGGGTATGCCCTGCTCTAGAAATGCCTGAAATATTGATAATGCAAGCAAAAAAATGTCCAAAAGTTAAATAAATAAATCTATAAATGTCTTAAGCTTAATATTATCAGTCACTTCAAAACTTATCGAGTCATTTGGGATAGATAGGCCTCTCTCTTACATTCATCGTGCAGGAATTGTAAATGTTTATCCAAAATGCAAGCTTCTGCTGATGTGTAAGACCCTCCAAATGGACAGAGGCTAGCTTGCTGAGGAGAAGCCTGAAATATATACCAATGAGTAATACACAGCAACGGATATATTGACAATTAGGGTTGCAAAACAAGCTGAGCCAAGCCAAGCTTTGGGATGCTCAACCTCTTCTCATCAAGTATATTTGAGAAACTTGAGCTCGACTTGAGGCAACTCAATGACATAAATAAGCCAAGCTCAGGCGTGAAAAGAAAAAAAGAAAAACTAAATTATATGCACATTAATTATTAATAAATTTGATCAATCAAATATGTAAATTTGCAAAAACACCAAACATAATAGATAAAAATAAAATAAAATAATTAAAATATATTTGATATATCAATAAAAATAAATGTTAATTAATATATGATTGTGTTCTTCGAGCTAAGCTTAGGTCTACTTGAGGTCAGCTCAATTACTAAAAAGCCAAAAACTTTGGTTTGAGCTTGTTCATTTAGCAGACATGCCCAACCAAGCTATTCATGAACAACTCGATTCATTTGCAACCTATAGTGCCAATTTAGTAAGAAAGATAACAACCTTAAACTTACTCGAGTCTATGGACCAAAAATAAAGCATTTGTTTTCCTGTTGAAATCAATTGAGCCAGCTTCAATTGAACAGAGATGCTTATAAGGACCAATTTCTCGCTTTCTGAATTCTGAAAACATGCTGTAAGGATCCCGAATCTCTGTTTCTTGATTGCTCAGCATTAGAGAAGGAATGGCCTTTGATTCAACAGTCCTGTTCTTTGTTGTGCTGAGTCTTAGAAAGATGTTAGACAAGCACTTGAAAACATCCTCAGAAATTTTGTTTGGAGAGCTGTCAGCTTCCAACGCTCCACCATCAGAGGAGTCAGAAGAGCTCTCTTGTGCTCATTTGCGGTCTGCTAATCTTCTCTCCAACTGTATAACAATAATCAAGATCATTTTACAATCAGAAGGTTGAGAAATTTCTCATCTAATACTGCAAATATACCTGTAACCTCAGAGGATCAACGTTTTTTCCTATCGATTCAGGCTTGATTGGAGGTTTCTTCATTCTAGGACTTTTATTTTCTGGATATTGCTTATCCTTTGATGAATTAGAACGCAATCGATTCTCTTTTACTGGCCCATTTTCCAAAGAGAAATTGGGTTTTTTTGAACAATGTCCAATTCGATCAGGGGTGGGTTTGGAAGACGATAGTTTTCTACTTGAAGCACTTCTCGCAAGCGAAGGAAAAGGCTTTGCCACAGATAATCCTGAAATTTCATTGTGTTGGAACGAACATAGTGATTCCCCGTGTTTGGAACTTCTGGTGGATAACTCGCTGCATAAATCAACTGAATTCTATGCATTCCTCTTGGATGATATGTAAGCTGCTTCCTGATATAAACCTTGTCTGAAATCGATAATCTGCTCTTCTAGCCGAACAACCTTCTCTTCCAAAACTGATACTTCAGCGAGAAGTTCTAGTGTCTGAATGGTGAGAATAACATTCCCCATTATTCCCATGATCAGCTGCCGAGCCAGAAAGTTAAATTAGGAACACTTACTAATTATAATATCAAAAAATTTTATAAAAATATTTCATGCAAATTTTACAATTGGTTTAGAGAAATATCAAAAAAATATTGTTATTTATAATTAGTGTATCGTGGATAATATAAAAAAATATGGATATAAGTCTTAAAATAAATCATATAATGATAAATTATTTTTTTATACAAATTTTGATTAAAAATTCAATATAATGGCAATCTATGAAGCATGGACACTCCAAAATTGATGCCGTAGTAGTGTCCGACACGCGGACACGCCGGGGACACGGGGACACGCCGTGGACACGTACGGGACACGCCAAATGGCGTGTCCCTTTAATTTAATGATTTTTTTGGAAGGGGACACGGCGGGGACACGGAGGGGACACGCGTGTCCATTTCTGGACACGCCATGGGACACGGCGGGGCTCGTTTTTGAATTTTTTATATTTATTTGGGGTCAAAGTATAATATTTATAAAGTAAAAAAAAAAAAAAACAACGGGAAGCCCTAATCGAACAACTGAGGAGTAAAGGAGTAAAATCAAACCTGCAAAGACTTTCTCTCTCTCAGTCGAAGCCCTCTCTCTCAGTCGAAGCCCTCTGAAGTTGATCGAAGCTCTGTCTCTCACTCGCAGCCCTCCGACGTCGATCGCAGCCCTCTGACGTCGATCGAAGCCCTCCGACGTCGATCGAAGACCAGTGATCCAGTCGTCTCAGTCGCTGCTTCAGTCGATCCAGTCGTCTTCGAAGGTAAGCCCCTCTCTGCGTCTCTCGCTCTCTCTCTTTCGCCTCTGTCTCCTCTTTCGCTCTCTCTCTCTCTCTCTCAAAGCTGAAATGAGAAGTCATAATCATTTCCCTAAAATCATGACTGTGAATCCCCTTAGGACAACAATATGTGCCAACAGTAGTTTTCGACCTCCAATCCAGTCGTCTTCGAAGGTAAGCCCCTCTCTCTGCGTCTCTCGCTCTCTCTCTTTCGCCTCTGTCTCCTTCTCTTTCGCTCTCTCTCTCTCTTTCAGCTTTCGACTGAGATGGATTGATTTTTATTTATTTTTATTTTTTTTTACGTTTATATATGTTATATGTAATAGACTCTTTTTTTTATTTATTTTTTATTTTGATATATATTAATAAGCCTTTTTTTTTATATATATATATTATATGTAAGACTCTTTTTTATTTTTATTTTTATTTTTATTTGTTTATATGTTTATATATATATATATGTAAAAACTTTTTTTTTTAATTATATGTTTAAATTCTGTTTTATTTAAATTCTATTTAAGCTCTTTTTTTTTGTTTTTTTTTTTTATTTTTTTATTTATCCTTCTAATGTTAATGTTAATTTATAGGAAAAATGTCTAGTTCAAATTCTGCCAATAACACACCATCTGCCTTTGATGCTGAAGATGATAAGCCACTGTGGAAATATGTGACTAGATTAGAAAAATCTGGTGCAAAGGGGGGGAATTATACTTTTCAATGTAACTTTTGTCGGGTTACACGTAAAGGTTCATACACTAGGGTAAAAGCCCATTTGATGCAAATTAAAAATCAGGGGATAGAAGTGTGCCCAAAAGTAACAAGTAAGGATAAAGCTGATTTTGAGAGAGTAATTGCAGAAGCAGAGTTGAAATTGAAAAACTCTAGGTTGAAGAAAGTCCCATTGCCTCCTCCTAGTTCAAGTGCATCATTAGGTTTATGTTTTAATGAACCAGAGGAGATATATGGATCAAAAAGGAAGAGGTCAACTGCTTTAGGGAGTGGAAGTAGTAGTAACCCTGTTATGAAAGCATTTAACATTGGGGCTCGAGAACGACTAAATAGTGAGATAGCTAGAATGTTTTATTCAGCAGGCTTGCCATTTCATTTGGCAAGAAATCCTTACTATGTTAGTACATTTACTTTTGCTGCAAATAACAACATACAAGGATATGTACCACCTAGGTATAACATGTTGAGAACTACATTGCTTCAAAAAGAAAGGATAAACATTGATAGGTTGTTAGATCCTATTCGAGGCTCATGGAGAGAGAATGGGGTGAGTATAGTCAGTGATGGATGGAATGATTCCCAACGAAGGCCATTAATAAATTTTACCGGAGGTGGGCCTATGTTTCTTAAAGCGGTTGATTGTTCAGGGGAAACAAAGGACAAATATTTTATTTCCAACTTGATGAAGGAAGTAATTATGGAGGTTGGGCCTAAAAATGTGGTTCAAGTCATTACAGATAATGCCGCAAATTGCAAGGCAGCCGGGCACCTAATTGAAGCACAATTTCCTCACATCTTTTGGACTCCTTGTGTTGTGCACACCCTCAATCTTGCCTTGAAGAATATTTGTGCTGCCAAGAATGTGGAAAATAATTCAATTGCATTTGAAGAGTGTAATTGGATTAGTGAGGTTGTGGGTGATGTGATGATGATCAAGAATTTTATTTGTAATCATTCCATGAGATTAGCAATGTACAATGAGTTTGTGAGTTTGAAACTTCTTTCAGTTGCCGAGACACGCTTTGCTTCTTCTATTGTCATGCTTAAGAGGGTCAAGTTGATAAAGCAAGGTCTCCAAACAATGGTAATCAGTGACAAATGGAGTTGTTATAGGGATGATGATATTGGCAAGGCCAAGTTTGTGAAGGATAAGTTATTGGATGACTTTTGGTGGGATCAAGTTGACTACATACTTTCCTTTACTGCTCCTATTTATGACATGATTAGAGTTTGTGACACCGATAGACCTTCTCTTCACTTAGTATATGACATGTGGGATACAATGATAGAAAAAGTGAAGATGGTGATATATAAGCATGAAGGAAAGCGACTAGAAGATGAGTCTACATTCTATAATGTAGTACATCAGATTCTTGTAGACCGGTGGAACAAGAACAACACACCACTTCATTGCTTGGCACACTCATTGAATCCAAGGTGATTACAACACAATTTACTATTTTTATTAATTTAAGTTTAATATTATTCTTTCACATTTATAATGAGTAGTACTTTTTTTTCATTTTAGGTATTATAGTGATGTGTGGCTTCATGAGGATCCAAGCCGAGTTTCCCCACATAAGGATGAGGAGGTTTGTCTTGAGAGAAAAAAGTGCTTGAAAAGGTTCTTTGATGATCCAATTGAGCGCACTAAAGCAAATTTGGAGTATGCTAAGTTCTCAACAAAAGAGGGGCCATTTACTGACATTGATTCCATTGGAGATAGATGTGATATGGATCCTCATAGTTGGTGGGTTGTTCATGGTGCATCTGCGCCCACTCTTCAATCTTTGGCTTTAAGGCTACTTGTGCAACCTTCTTCTTCATCATGTGCTGAGAGGAATTGGAGTATATACTCTTTTATCCATTCAATGAGAAGAAACAAGATGACACCCCAACGTGCAGAGGACTTGGTTTTTGTTCATAGCAACCTCTGTCTTTTATCAAGGAGAACCCCACAATACCATGAAGGAGAGACCAAGTTATGGGATATTGCGAGCGACACATTTGATTCATTTGATGATGTTGGAATGCTTGAGGTTGCAAATCTGTCACTTGATGAACCTGAGATGGAGGTTGTGTTGTTTACAGATGATGGAGGTGCAAACGAAGAAAAAGGTGGTGATGCTAATGATGATGAAGACGTGCAAGAAATTGGATCTACTTGAAGTTTTGAAAGGCCTACTTCTTTTTTTCTTTTTCTTTTTTTTCTTCTTCTTTGTCTCTTATTTAATGTTTTTGTGAAGAATATTATTGGATGTTAGATGTTGGATGTTTTCCCCTTATATTTAATGTTGGATGTTGGATGTTGAATCTTTTGCCTCTCTTTTATTTATTGAATTAATGGTACTATATTAGTGTTTGTTAATTTTGATTTAGAATGAATGTAATACGAATCTACATAACACATAAATATATATATATATATATAATCGCCGTGTCCCCTACCGTGTCCGTGTCCCCATTTTTTGGAAATTGCCGTGTCCCGTGTCTGTATCCGTGTCCGTGTCAGTGTCCGTGCTTCATAGATGGCAATATCACGTCATCATTAATATGCGATATCACCAGCTAATAGTAAATAAACATATAGATAGTGAACCTCACATGCCAAATGTAACTAACAATCTAATAAATTTCATATCTTTATAATGAGATTAGTTATACTTGCATGTTAATAATAATGACATCACTGTTACATTTAAAATTTTCATAGATAATATGATTTATAGTAATCTCTTCATTTTCAATCAAAAAAACTATTATTATTTTTATAATTTTTAAAGTGTCATCAACATTTCACTCTAATAATATTTTTGTAATTCTTTTTATTTAAAATATTTTCTTTATATTTGAAAAAAAATCACAAAATCTAGAGGGGCACGTGATCCTGGTCCTTACGTGGCACCGCCACTACTCATGATCAATGTAAACCACACAAAAAAATAAAATAAAATAAAATAAAATGTGACCAGTACACAAGACTCTCACTAAAACGGAATCTAGAGGAGGACAAGATGTAAAAACAGATAATTTCAATGGCAAATTACAATTTGACCCCCTCAATAATGGTTATCATATCACTATGCTCCGCTCAACTAAGAATTTCTACATTTTACTCCTTATCTTTTGACTTGTTTAAAATTTTGTTAAAGAAAGAGGACTAAAAAAATGGAACGTGAGCTACCCATACCAATTTTATGCGTGTTCAAAAGCTAATTTATTTACATATATCTGATGGAGATGTTGTATCTTCTCTTCTCTTATGTACACATGTGAGAGAAAATACATGCACATGCTAATTTTATAACCAGATAGAAAATATATATATATATATATATATATTTCTCACACACATATACGATATATATACCATCTTTGAATATTTTTGCTGTCCCATACCAATTTTATGCGTGTTCAAAAACTGATTTATTTACATATATCTGATAGAGATATTGTATCTTCCCTTCTCTTATGTACACATGTGAGAGAAAATACATGCACATGCTAATTTTATAACCAGATAGAAAATATATATATATATATATATATATTTCTCACACACATATACGATATATATACCATCTTTGAATATTTTTGCTGTAAAAATGGCATGTATAGCTTTGTGGGAGCTAGAAAATTATAGGTATTAGCTTATTGGGCCTAACCCAAACAAAGCCTACAAAGGTCCAACCCAAATAAATATCACACCCCCCGTCTATATAAAGGGGGGGCATCCCAAGTGAAAGGTATGTCTGTTCTCCCTCCACCACACACACACACCCCTTCTGATATACATATATACTAGTTCTGACCACACTGCCCGTTTAGTGATCAGCTGGAGAGCACAGGCAAAATAGATGGTTTTAGCAACCTGTAACAGAAAGAAAAAGCTCCGGCGGTGGTTCTTCCACCCGGGGGCACTCCGACGATCAAGTCAGTATATCTCTCAAAGATAATCAAGTGCTAAACTGAATGCTCAAAACATAATTTACATACCTTAGACCCACGGGGGTGCCTCTCTTTTATAATATACTCAATCCAAGTCCCACTAGAAGTATGACTTCTATGAACTCCAATTTAGTGCTTACTCTGGACTCTATAAGAGATAAAGATAGAACTCCCTAAGAGCTTTATCCTTATCTTGGTTAAGTCCCCTCTTTGTCTTAGGACTCTTGTCCCTTATCTGCTTATCTCGGATTCCGATATCTTCGGGGATAACCTTGGCAATTACGAGATCATCTCGGCTTAACTACCAGGACACGTGGCACCTCGGCCAACACGTCGGCGTCACCATGCCACGTGTTGGTATTCAGAAAATACATCCCCACAACAGCCCCCTAGGTTCTATTACCTACCACATGATCGGCTGCAAGTCGGCCTACACTGAATAAGGGAAGCTGTTTTTCTCTTTGAAAGAATTTATTTGTATATTTCTAGTCTACGTATATGTGTGTATACTAGTTTTTTAATCAAGCCCAGAAAGCATGAGCATAGATAAAATATAAATATATATATATATATATATGTCACAAAATTATGGGTTGTAAGTTTTCTCTCTCTAGGAATTGATAAAAAAAATATTATGTCAGACTCCGTATAACACTGGTTGACAAAATATATAACAAAGCCATCATTTTCCAAAGAACTTATTTTCATTTATGCTTCTATATATATGAATGCACCCATGTCGAAATATTATATTATTAGTTGATCTTGTTGGGAAACCTTTCAACAAACATGTTGCTCGGTAATTAATTACTTTCTCTCTCTAAAGAACCAAGGTTAACCAATTGTAGTAGTGCAACTTGTGAATTGGCAGTCTAAGAGTTTATTTATATATTATACATTACATGTATTGCAAAACATTTGTCAGTTGTAGGTGCTTTTGAGAAGAATCAAATGGGTTTCAATGTTGTCTCTGTACAAAGACACCTCAACAACCACACTGCCGATGAATGTATGCAATTTCTATCCAAAATTCGAATTAATGTGAATCTCAAGGGCGATGTAATTCAATCGAAGTGATATTCTGCCAAAGCACCAAGCTAAAGTCGCCGACCAAGTATTCCGGCTGGCACAACCGAAAGGAATTGCTGACCAAGTGTTTCAAACTACGTTGCTGACCAATGTGTTTCGGCAAGCCAAAATAGTTGTCGACCCACCTATCTCAGCCACAATTTATCTCGCAAGCCTTGACAATTTCTCCACTCTAAAGAATCAGTCGGCTATTGAGCCCATGCATGTGTATTTTGACAGTATTACAACTCATAAAAGATTGCTCGGCAAAGATACAAAGTTATTCGGCATCTCTTCCACCTTTCTCGGCAATCCTACTCGGCCACACATACGTCCACTCCACAACATTAGACATTCTCGGAACAACTACAATTATTAATTTATTCACCTCTAGCAAAAATCTCATGATTCACTTCTCGGAAGTACGAAATTGCTCGGAGCTACTATTCGGCAACATTGCTTATCAAACTCCGTAAATTCGGCATATCATTCGGCATCTTATCGACTATTAGTTCTCTGCATATTATCTCGGCTTCGGCAACTTATTCGGCAAGTATTCAAAAACATTACACCGCGATATTGCTTATTCGGCTAACATTTATTACTCGGCAGGATTGCTCAAATCACATTTCTTATTCAGCAACACTTCTTGAAAGTACTCACATGCATATCATTCGACATCTTATCTACTATTAGTTCTCTGCATATTATCTTGGATTCGGCAACTTATTCGGCAAGTATTCAAAAACACTACACCGCAATATTGCTTATTCGGCTAACATTTATTACTCGGCAAGATTGCTCAATCACATTTTTTATTCGGCAACACTTCTTGAAAGTACTTGCATGCATATCATTCGATTGCCACCTGAATTGGCACAATTTGCTTTCCAAAATCTCGGCACTACTATCTCGGCATGAAACTAGCATCTCGACTTACCGAAATCCACATCTAAACCTACCACAGGATTCACATCGACTCAAAGAGTCCAAACCCACCAACCCGAGCAACCAGAAGTAACCAAAGCCCGCCGAATGTTGCGAAACGGATCACATGTGCCGAAAATCGAAATTTACGAAGCTGTCAAAATCAAATTTTGGTTATACCAGCGTGAAGTACTCATTGAGACGAGTCCAACGCAACAAACCGCATCTTAATCGGAGCTAAAACAAAGCCATAAGAGCTAATAGAAGTTTGCCCAGAAAATCGTCTATTGCTGCTGGAGAAGACAACCTGGAGTTGGCCAACATAACAAATTATTCGGATTGCGGCTAAGTTACATCTCATAATAGCCAAACAATTAAGTTTAAATATATAATGTGCAAAATACGAGCATAAGTCTTTGTCTTGGTGCAGTGGTTCAGTGTTCTTTCTCTCCTAAAGCAGGGGTTCAAGTCTTGTTGATCCCATTTATCCTTATTTTTTATTTTTGCCAAGCCATGAGGGAAATTATCCAGAGATTTGCGGAGCAAAAGTCTCAATCGATCTAAGCCGTTAGATCTATTTTGGTTATAATTACGCCATCATGAGTCTGATCACAGCAATCCAATAGTCTTTTCCAGCTATCTGACGCATTCCGAGGCCATCCGTACAGTCAGAATTTACAAATTCAGCACAAAATAAATATATACATATATATTAAATAAATAAATAAATAAACAAATAAATTGCAGATTTGATTCCGATATCACCAAGCACCTTACTTTGTCTCGGCTTCATTCTGATATTGCCACGGCACCGCACAGGGGCATGGAATCCGTTCCAATTCATTATCGGCCTACTCGGCAATTTTGGCCCAAGTCAATTTTATTCCTTCCGAATAACGAATCTTATTCAAAAGCAATGGGGCAAATATACGTTGGACAAGAAGCTCAACTCCACTAAATTGGCAACCACTGCTGACCAAGTTCTTAGCAAACCTAACCCCGAAGGAATGCCAACACGTCGCCGACCAAACGATTGGCACAATTGCCGACCCAAGTGTAAACGGACACCGATGTTTTGACACTAGTTACTCGACAGTGCATCAACTATACCCAGCAAGATTATTCGACCATTATTAAATTCAACATTATGCATGATCATTATTCGGCCGTGCATCAACTCTATTCGGCTAAGCAACATTATTTGTCAACTTTATGCATCGTCAAACTTTATGCAGCAACATTGGCCACAATATTCGGCAACTTTATTCACCTAACAACATTATTTGGTAAAACACTTGCCCATTGGGACGTCAGTCAATTTTTCGCTTTCCAATTGGGACACATCAGCCGATCATCATCTCAGCACCTTTGATATGCATGAATACTCGGCCAACTTGGTACAAACATTACAAGGACAATTACTTGAGGTACAAACTTCCGCTCCTTTTCACACAGCTTCAAGCAAGCGCTCGTTTTGAGACAATACATTACACACTTGGCAGATAACAATTTCCATATTTTTGCGCGCCGTCACTTTACCAAAGCCGAACCTTCCCTGCAACATAGGGCAATGGAAATCTACATTCCTTCCGACTAACACCTGGCATTCGAAAGCAATGGGGCAAGTCTACCTTGGACTAAACGCAAACCGAGCAACTCAGCAATTAAATAGTTGGCCCAATATCTACTTGGCAATTCCATATAAGCGGAGCAATATTATTGGTGATTAACACGTCCACCTTATTCGATACAGGATACATTATTCAAAGTCCTTGCCACTTTGGCACTTAGTTGCCACTTAAAATCAGCAAAAGTCTCCGAGTACAGGGCAATCTTCGCACTCGGCACAGAGCGCCGTTAGCAAAGGCCTACACCCTTGCCTGGGGTTATAATACCACAGGTCTACACCCTCACCCGGGGGGTAATAATACCGTGGTCCAATTTTTGACTGATATATCTACCTTATTTAATCTATCTTATTTGGTTCAGGTAATCATTTCCGTGTTCGGCCTATAGAAATATTTCTAGCTCGGCATAAAAGTCCATATTTGGAAGCAATCTTCGCACTTGACAAAATACTGCACCCATGCCCGGGGGTTATAATACCATGGCCTACGCCCATGCCCGGGGGTTAGAATACTGCGGCCTACACCCATGCCCGGGGGTTAGAATACCGTGGCCTACACCCATGCCCGGGGGTTAGAATACCGCGACCTATTGTTATGATTTATTTGTATTCCTTTATGGGTTTTAGCTCAACCCCCCTCATCTTATGATCAACATATGTACATTTTTACATACATTCAAGACATACGTACATTTATACATACATTCAAGCATACATGCAGTCATTCATTCACATATTTTATTCATTTATCCAAAGTGTTCTTTATCAAAAAACCTAACAACTATTTGAACAGCGTAACTTGGCAAGAAAAAAACTCTTATTCCTTCTACCGCAGACAATGAAAGTTTTGGGGCAATTGTGGGAGCCAGAAAATTTAGGTATTAGCTTATTGGGCCTAACCCAAACAAAGCCTACAAAGGTCCAGCCCAAATAAATATCACATCCCCCGTCTATATAAAGGGGGGGCATCCCAAGTGAAAGGTATGTCTGTTCTCCCTCCACCCCACACACACACCCCTTCTGATATACATATATACTATTTCTTGATTCAAGGACTAATTTCATCATCGGAGTACTCCCGGCCAGCAACCCCGGTTGGGTGACACCGACTATGTTCCTCATTGCAGATCTACAGGGGTGAAGCTCTTCTTTTCGCTGGATCTCTACAACATCCATGTGAGAGGATATTTCATAGTCTCACAAGCTTATATGCCACTTTTTCATTCTCTTTTTATAGCAAAACATTGAGATTTATGTTATGTTTGGTTGGAGGATTTGATGAGGGATTTGGAAGGAAACGGAAAAAGGTGTGTGAAATTATGTGAAATATAGGCATGTTTTATTCACATTTCACATTACTTTTCCATTTCTCTTTCCAAATCCCTTCCCAAATTCCCAATCAAACACAGCATTAAGCAAATCAAAAGATTAAGAGACAAAATGCAGCAATTTTTAGTTAAAACAGGGTTAAAGTGACAACTATCCATAGTTGAGTGAGGAGAATGAAGTGTAAATTTACATACATACATATCTACATTAAACTTTCTAGAATGCTGAATTCATATGGGTCTCTCCTCTTTCTTCACTCATTTCCCACCCATTTCATTACTCCTTCAAATAATTCTTTAAAAAAAATTAATTATATTAATTTTTTTTAAAAGTAATAATAATAATAAAAAGAAGGTTTAATCCTTTTGTTAGAGTAAGATTATCTCGGATTCCGATATCTTCGGGGATAACCTCGGCAATTACGAGATCATCTCGGCTTAACTACCAGGACACGTGGCACCTCAGCCAACACGTCGGCGTCACCATGCCACGTGTTGGTATTCAGAAAATACATCCCCACATATATATATATATATACTCACCTCTGGAGGAAGATAAGGAGGAAAGCGAGGTAGAGATCCCAAAGTTCTATTGAAAGCCCTCTCCAATGCTCTGTGAACATTCTCTTCATGTCTTAACTTCTTCTCCAGCTTGTTAACCTGCAATTTGGTAATCGAATTATTAACATAACAATTGAAATAAAATCAAATGTTTGGAAAAGAGAATTTTGAAATACATCTTCAAGTAAAGCCAAATTTTTTTCTCTATTGGATCGATGCCGATTCGCCGTGACTTGCAATTTGCTTCCCTCCACTTCCATCTTCTTCTCCTATGAAAATCCAAATCTAATAAATTTAAAAAATAGATAAATAAATAGACAGAGTGTAGAGTAAAGAAATTATTCGTTTCTTGGGAGGGAGGAACAGAGTGCCCAATTCAGATTTGGATAAAAAAGTGTTTCAAAGTATCGAGAAGTGAGAGCTTCAGAGTAAAAAGGAAAAGAAAAGAACAGAAAAGAAAAACAGGGGCAGGGAGATGAAAATATGGTTTTGATAACAAATTTGACGAAGTGAATGAAATGGGAGATCCAAATTCAGTTAAATTAAGAAATCAAAACTAAAAAAAGAAAACAACTCACATTTCGAGGATTCGAAGGGGGTTTCATGGAGTGAAGTGTTTTGCAGACTCTGTTATTCATCTTTCACGTTCCTGAAACATACCCAATAACACGAAGCAAAAACAAAAATAAAATTTGAGTTGAAAATAAAAGCTGGGTAGTGAAAAGCGATTTTGGAAATAAAAAATTACTCAAGTTTTTCATTCCAGAGGGAGAGAAAGAGCGGGAAAGTTGAAAGCGAAGGAAGGGAGAGGCAGAGAAACAGATATGAGCAATGCACTCGGAAATTATAGAATGTTATGTTCCCAGTACTACGTGTTCGTAACTATATATATTTGTTTGCGAGGTTTCTCCCTAGTTGGAATGTGTTTTTTTGCTTCTGTGCGCCCATGGGGCGTGTTTGTTGGAGCTTTTTAGAATCAACTTACCGCTTCTCATTTTTAAAAAGTTATTTTAGATTATTTAATTAAATTTATTTTAAATAGTTTCTGATTCTAATAATTTATTTTAAATCAAAAAAATTGATTCTGAGAAGCTACTCACTCTTACTTTTAATTATCTGTGAACATGTTAATTGACGGTTATACTCTTAGATTTTTTTATTTTTTATTTTTTATTTTTTATTTTTTTAAAAATAGAAAAAGACCCAAATAGATTATAGAATATTATTATTATTTTTTATGAGAAATGTAGACAAATAGTGAATAAAAATAAATAAAAGTTAATTGAAAAAATTACTTCACAGCTTATTTAACAAACACTACTCAGCAAATTAAATCTATAATTCAACAGTTACACCAAACAGATTAACAGCTTCTGATTAAAGTTATAATTTATAACCTGCTAAGCTATAATGTATAATCTGTTTTAACAATTATACCAAACAGGACCATTATATAACCCACCCCGATAATTTTAATCGTTTAGTAGGTAAGGTTAATATTTTTTAATAAAAAATAGATTAATTAAATATCAATAATTACTTAGTGAGATTATGTTTATGAGAAGCTTTTTTTTAAAATTATATTTACCATTTTATTTTAATATTGGAAGTAGTCTTAGATTTTTTTATTTTTTATTTTTTATTTTTTATTTTTTTAAAAATAGAAAAAGACCCAAATAGATTATAGAATATTATTATTATTTTTTATGAGAAATGTAGACAAATAGTGAATAAAAAAAAATAAAAGTTAATTGAAAAAATTACTTCACAGCTTATTTAACAAACACTACTCAGCAAATTAAATCTATAATTCAACAGTTACACCAAACAGATTAACAGCTTCTGATTAAGTTATAATCTATAACCTGCTAAGCTATAATGTATAATCTGTTTTAACAATTATACCAAACAGGACCATTATATAACCCACCCTGATAATTTTAATCGTTTAGTAGGTAAGGTTAATATTTTTTAATAAAAAATAGATTAATTAAATATCAATAATTACTTAGTGAGATTATGTTTATATTAATATTTTTTTTTAAATTATATTTACCGTTAATATAAATGTAATCTGATTAAGTGGTTATCGATATCTGATCAATTTGATATTTTTATGAATGAAATACTCGACGAGTCTTATAATTAAATCCAATTATCAATGCGGGCTCTGTTGTGTGGACCTACAGAGGGCTAAGAGCACCGAGTGAGGATCCTCTTCTTGCAGCTCCCGTGCTTGCGACCGTTTTTGCAGGCCTTCGGGTCTACTTTTAGGCCCAATTTTGATAATCCGAACCGTTCATATTTTATGATTTATTCAGTATATCATACCTGTAAAAAATCAAGTTGATCGGATATCAGAGAGCATGTGTTCAGAAAACTGTTTATTAAATTCTTTAAAAAATAGTGTTTAGTTCAATTTTTCAAACACATACTTTCTGATATCCGATCAACTTGATTTTTTACAGGTATACTATAATGAATAAATCATAAAATATAAACGGTTCGGATTATCAAAATTGAGCCTAAAAGTAGACCCGAAGGCCTGCAAGGACAAACGCAAGCACGGACTTGCAAGGAGAGGCTCTTGACTCTAAGAGCACCAACCAAGAATGAAATACTCGACGAGTCTTATAATTAAATCCAATTATCAATGCGGGCTCTGTTGTGTGGGCCTACAGAGGGCTAAGAGCACCAACCAATCTGATTTGGACTAGAGAAAGGCTTCTTATTTGTTTTTAATATAAATTATTTATCTATTTTTGTTAAGTAAAATAAATAAAAAAATTAATATTTTAGTCATTAAACTCAATAAAAAGAATATTTTAGATATTATATATATATATACCTACATTGAGTTTAATAACTAAAATATTATTTTTTTCGTCAATTTTACTTAACGAAAAATCAAAAGTTAAAAATTCTATGTTTGTTTTATTATAAGGCTCAAATCTTGAAATTTTTTTCTTTTATAATTGTCCGTAAAAATAAGGATGGATTCTTACCCATGTAATTGTATAAATATAAATACACCCTCTGAAGTATACTTAAAATACAAATTATTCTTTGCCTCCGTTTGGGAAGTGGGTTGGCTTTTTGGCTTTTTGACTTTTTTGACTATATGAGCCTGGACTCAAAAGCTTAGTTTGGGAAGGGTTTTTGGCTTTTTTGATTTTTTTTGTGAGAGAAGAGTGTAATAATTATGGGGTTAGATGGGATGTTTTGTTTGTTATGACTCATGAGCCTATTCTGTCTTTTATGGCTCATTGAGCCAAAAAAACCCAATGACCCCTTGCCAAACCAACCCTTCGTGATTTTAAAAATTAGATTCCACTCCTTCAAGATTTTAATCAGATAATCAATGACCATTTTATTAATAGTTCATCATGTCAGTTAATAATTTTTAATGATAGTAGAAATATTTTTAATTAACCATTCAGGTAATTTTATTTTTATAAAAAAGAGTAGTTAAAAAAAAATTATTTTTTTTTGTTAATTTTTTTAAATTAAATCTTTTGACATTGAGGTATTTATAATTTTTAGAATCATGGGAGGCAATCCGTATTTTAAATATACTTCAAAGGGTGTATTTGAATTGTTTGTATTATAAAATTTGTTGAGTATATCATTTATTAAAAAATTAAAATTAATTAGACATTCGTAATCAGATCTTAATTAAAAAAATTAATAAGATCATGTTACCTATTTATTTTTTAAAAAAAATAACCCAATCAATTTAATATTTTACATGAATAATATATTTGATAAGTTCTACCATATAAACAGTTTGAATTATAAAAAAAAAAAAAAAAAACTAAGAACAAGCCGCCACAGGCCTCACAGGAGCCTACTGTGAACCCATCTTCTTAAGTTTGGTACTCACCAAAAAAAAAATAACAAATCTGTAATTGATCAGTTTTAAAGCTTAGCTCCTAGGGATTTCTATTAATACACTGTCATTTTGGTATAAACAAGAGATAAATTATCCTGTAAAAATATTGAAAATTTGGACAAAAATAATAATATGATATTTAATGTAAATGTGCAGCAATATATCCCATAAAAAACTATGAAGGAAAAATAACAATTCATTGTGAATTTAAAACCAAAAAATTCAAATCAGTGACAAAATTTATGAACCTGAATTATTAAAGTAAATTTTATCATCAACTAATAATTAATTTTGAAAGATAGAACTGAGGTCTAATTTCCCCAACTATAATTTACAGTAGTACTTTTAAACGAGTACCTAGAAAAGTACCAACCAAGAAAGCTAAATATATTAAATTCCATCATTTAAAAGAGAAACAACTTTAATGTTATCATATGTTTATTTTTGTATGATTAATTAACCAAAATTTAAAATAATTATACATTTTGCATAGCTCAACAGCCAAGATTCTCATTTATTTAATTAATTAATTTTTATTTTCATTTATCTTCAAATGAGATTTTCCATTTACTCGGTAAAACTTAATTTTTTGTAAAATGATTTGATCAGAAGTGAGGAAATTTCATCTCCATATTAGAAATCAAAAATAAAACAAAACAAAACAGAAATTTCCGCATGTTTGATCATGTCATTTTACAAACATAAATTTAAGTAGAACTAACTAGTTGAAGGAAATATGAAATTTAGCTATTAAAAAAGTACATGGCATGATCAATAAGCTAAGATTTTAATATTAGCAGGGCGTGTGAGTACTTCCTCCCAACGACTTTTTGTTGGTATTGTATTAAAAAAAAAAGAAGCAATTTGAAAAATTAATTTTTAATTTTTTAATTTATTTTGAATCTTATTACCTCTCACATTTTTTACATAGAAAAATTAAAAAATTAATTTTTAACTAACTTTTCAAATCACCCAGAATCATCACACAACCATCCCACAGATCACGAGTCTACTTGCATTATTATAAGTCCCCACACCTCTCTCTCTCACACGTGTTTCATATACGGTATGTTAGGGTGCAGCTTACATGGGCATAACTGAATCCAACCTGAATTTTTTTACAACTTATGTTATATAATTTTAAAACATCTGATTAGGGCTTGAATTAAAGTTTCTCAGCTCACATAAATTCAAAAAAAGTCTCTTTAGTTATTTCTGAATCTTTGTAACCTTTTCGCTTTACCCATCTAAAAAAAAAAATTAAGAATTTCTCACAAAACCAACTACCCAAAATAAATTACATATTATTATGTTTAGAGTTTATATATATATATAGGGATTCTCACAAACTAATTTTTCTTATTATGTTTCATGTTTATATTATATAATTATTTTTTGAGATATTTTGCCTTTTTTTGCTTTCAAAATGTAAACATATTAGTTTTGCACAAGGAATGATAATTTTTTTATGTTTGAAATTTGGCAACCAGAATCAATCCTAAATTTTGAGTTAAACTAGGGCATGGGATTGGACAAGATGTTTGGACACAAGTCAAGTCAGGCTCCAACTAAAACTTGGACAAATCTCTCTACATACACACTTCATGCTGAACAAATCTTAAGCCCACCTAAGTTGTAACCTACCATAAACACATATTTATATATACCCTAACACACATATACATCAATATACCTCAGCAAAAAAGTCAACTTCAGAAGAAAAATACACAAAACCCACCTATCCTTCCAAGTTCAAGGCCACGTCATCATCATGATGTACTTTTTGTACCCATTACAATCTCTCAATCTTTACATATCAATATCACTGTTAGGCACAACATATCCAGTACGGTAAGATTCCAGTTCAAGGACCAGTCACTATCCCTATTTGATGATCCAATGGAGGGTTATAAGAATTGGACCACCTTCTGGTGAGGAAATGATAGCACCCTCTGTCCTTCAGTTCCCTTGAATCTTGGAATAGGATAAAAGAAAATGGCCCGGATCAAATATTATTCACTACCGTCCGTGGTAATATCACAAATGCTTCACAGCCATCCATATTTTTGTGGCATTGCCACTGACAACAGTGAATAACTGCTTTGCGGCCCCAACACAAAGTGAAAAGACAACCAATACAAAATGATGAAACTTCGTATTATGTAGAAGGGTTGGTTACCGATTAGGTCACTTTTGAGCTGAAATTTGGCATATTGCCAGCTCAATCTGGTCCCGAAAATCCCAATCCTTGTGATGAGATGTGTGATTTTACCTTCCCTGATTGCTCGGCTACACCGGCAGTTGGTCTATAATGTCAACATCACTTCACGGAATCGAGTCTCCCTTATCTTCTTCACCTGTCCTCTCATTTTTCAACTTCTTCCAGTAACACAGCAATCTATATCACTATCAGCAATTATAAGAACAAAGATTTGAGGATTCTGACAATCTTTGTTAAGAAAATGTCTTCTAAAGCACCCAAGGGTATTGAGAAGTAATTCTTTTTTGCTCCTGAAGGCAAATGCCCCAATGGCCCAGGAGCCATATGATCACGATTCACGTGTGCCCCGCGTGATCGTGTGGCTCATTATGCATGCACCATAAATCGGCGAATTCCGTCATGCAAATGGTGGAGTGGATGCCAGTGTTTAGACTAAGAGCCATTGTTATTGAGAAAGTGGGCTAAAATCAATGTATTAGAAACTCAAAAACAATGTACTTGGAAGAAGCTCCATGCATGGTGATCTGAAAAAAACAATCCTGTGATTCTATTGACCTTAAACATTACCTTGAAAATGCTATGCTCAGGTATACCTAAATGAATTCTCCCGACTATTAGATATATACAAAACACAAATATTACCACCAAAAAACGAGTATCTAACAAATTTGCTCCTTCGTTGCAATCAATGCATTCTTATAATTCAAATCCGAACAGGTTTACTACGAATTTGCTAGTGAATGAATGGATTCAGGACTGAATTTTGTCCCCTACCAAGGTTCCCTCAATAGACTTCTTGCTTTGCACAAGGAATATAACATCTCCCAGGTTTGGAACTAAAACTAGAGGTACAAGTAGTGATGCGCCTAAAACTGGGCCTCGGGATACCAGATAGTAAAAAAAATGTTCATGATAACTATTGCTTATTTGTAATTTGTGCATTACATGTGACGAGGCTTCATGGAGTACAGTTGCTCAAGGAAATAGGTCACTCACCACATCCATGTATAAAACTAGAGGTTTCATATACAATGGATCTCCAGATATGATATAAATCAGAGGACTAAAATGATAACCTCTAGATACACTCTGAATGGGAAGATTATAAGCACATAAGTTCAGTTCAGCGAAAATCCCACCACCCACCACTAGCTCCCCTGCTAGTCACTTCACAAACTTACTCAATCCTCCTCTCATTTTCCTTCCTCACACTACAAGAATTTGAGAGCCTAAAGGGGAATTAAATTTGATCTCAAGAACTAGCTACCATATTGCTTTAAAGAAAGTTGGCAATAGCTAGGTTGGGTCAAGGTCATTGTGGGGTTGAAATGGGCAGTGGTAATGATTTTAAGATACCTAATCTCGGCCCTGAAAACCAAGTTGATAGTGATCACACTGATTAATTTACAGCAGAAATCTTCTGGTTGGTGAGCCATACCAATTCTAACAGGTTTGAGTTGACATACCACACACCATGTTTAGCAGAAGGGTTCTTTCAACAGCGACCAAAATAACCTGAATCATAAAAGGATCCAGAGTCTTCTAGAAACAGTTGACGTTAAATCAACATGACCCTAAAATTCCCAAGAACGCTGGTTGTCTACCCCTCTATCCAATAGCCATCACCACAAATTAATTATGTAGATCTTTTATACAAAACAATCGTAACTAATGCAAAACGCTTCTGCTTCTGGGAGAGGTAGTATGCATAACTTACCCTAAAAAGAAAAAATAAAAAAAGGGCAGTATGCATAGGTCATGACCTAAGCGCAATGGCAAGTGCCATCTGCCCGCCCCTAGCATTGTGGCTCAAGTTCAAGTCGGGAATCAGTGCAGTGCTGAAACTGAAAAATAATGGTCTGATCAAGCAATCTTCAAGTCTCAACTGGACAAACTAACTGAATTCTTGAAGTGAAATTATTATTATTTTTTTGGGAAGTTTCAGCTCCAAAATTCTGCTCTTACCAGCAGAAAATAGTAAGAAAATGGTGGGGGATGTAAATCAAATCAAATCAAATCCCATCCCCCCCCAAAAAAAAAAAAAAAAAAAAAAAAAAACGGTTAAAAAAAAAAAAAAAAAAGCAATCGGTTGAAAAAGAATAACAATACCATATCACAAATAAAACGGGAAAAAAAAAACAATAAAAATAAAAATAAAAATAAAAACAGATAAGTGACTGTTTAAATAAAATATTTCCTTTTCCATTTTTTTTCCTTATATGATTGAGAAAACTTTAAAACTGCATGTAAAAAAGACTTGAAGCTGCATCTAACATACATAATTTTCCAAGTATCTTATCATTAACCCTCCAGATGAGAAGAACTTACAGAGTTTGGTTGAGGTTTTGTCAAAAGGGTTTGTGGACCCCTTACAAAGAAGCTATCAGAATGGCTTTCTGTAGCACTAGAGGTCATGGTAGAGACCTCCTTTGACCTACCCATTAAATGTAGTCCAAAAAGATGGTTACCCCAGATATCATACCTAAATTGATCCTCAAGCCCTGTCGCTTCTTCTAAATTAACTGTTTTCTGGTTGTAAAGTTTGGATCCAGGAGCCCGGGCATGTGGAGCAATTGTAGAAGTCGAAGGCCTACCAGTGCAAGGGAAGGTTGCAGAAGGCAACAAAACAGATTTTCCGGGCATCTTTCTTGGTGCAGAGGGCTTCTCTTGGGTAAAGAAAAAACAACTTTTATTGGAATACTTGACAGAAACCTTAGGCTCCAATATGTTTGCCTTTGATGCAGGTTCTACACCTGAACTCTTCCCACAGGGTTGATCAACCACTTGCCCAAACTGATTACTAGACTCAACTGATTGACCTGCCTCATAAGACTGTGGCCACAACCGTTTAGGTGTAAAAGATGTGACTGGGGACAAGGGTGATGAAGGTGTAGAATTACCACTTTGACTGCTTGCAACGTCAAAGATTCCAGATAATCCTGTTCCCGAACACTTTTTCTTCCTTTTCCTTCTACCCTTTTCTTTTCCAATTCTAACTGTGAGTTTACCGACTTTTGATGCTTCCCGAACATCAGAGTTCTCAACTGTGCTAGACTCTTGCAGGATACAAGATCCAAATGCCATTTCCTCTTGAGTTTGTCTCTGATTTTCAACAGTTGGATTAAGATGCAGAGCAGTTATCCCCTGTTTTGAAGCAACAACTTCACCATCAGGATATCTATTGACAGATTCAAGCATTGAGGTTTCCTCTTCTCCAACTGACCTTAACAAGCCATTCATTTTAGAGGATATGGAAAACTTATTACCATTCTTTGTGTTGAAATGCATACAAGAAGATTTCCCCACACGCCCAACAGTGGCAATGGAGCTTTTCCCACTCTTGAACAAGTAATCCAAGTAGCCTAAGCCCATCAATTGGGGGAGGATGCAAAAAAGTATAAGAAACATCACAAAAGCAGCAAGAAGGATCGCAAAGAAGATTCTATGCACTTGCATCCGAAACATTGATTTCTTACACAAATTGAGCATGTTTAGAGGGAGACTTGCTTTCATAGGGATCACAACAATACCAGTAGCCAAGGCCAGTTCAAGATCTCTCTGTACCATGACTGTAGAAAAATCTGCCTGATATGATATCAGAAGCTTTGTGGACTCACCAGGTTCAAGAGCAAAACCTTTGCAAGTATGCACAACAAACCCGTCTAACTCACATTCTGTCCCAGAAACCTCAATTCTCCTGACCTCCAGTGGAAGGTCCCCCGTGTTCTTTGCATACAGCTCTTTCGACAATGGCTTGGAACAGGCATGAGTGGTTTCTTCCTTGTGATGGGACATTTCAGGAGGAGACAAATTTAGACGGCTTGGCAAGTTGAACTTAAATTCTAAACTTGGAATAGGCTTAGACCCTTCAAACAAATCCAAAGAAAATGACCCTCCATATCCCCGCAAAGATAACCACTCCACACCAGAAAGATTGTTCCTTATCAAAGCAGAACTTCTCCACCCACATCGATTCGAAGGGTGAAAAATTATTGGCCCAAAAGATGCTGTACCGTAAGGATGGACATAAGCCTCTGTCAGTGCTTTCTCTGATATTGAGAACCCATACCTTGTTGGTGATGTATTTTCACTAAGAACCAAACCACTGGATAGAGAGGGCTGTAAAAGCCCATCTGGGGCCCGGCACTCATCGATAATTTCACCTGCATTCAGGATCAGCTGCATTACAACTGGTTGTTCGCTTGGGTTTTTTACAGTGATCCACTCAGAGTGATGAGTTCCAATCTGAACCATCGGGAACACAACCCCGTGATTGTCAAGCACAGACATGCTGCTGGCAGTACCTTGAGATTTCCAGTTTCCTAGTACCAATTCATCTGGTTCTGCTGCCTCCATTTCCTTAAATTTAAGTGCACACAAGCATAAATGATTAGGAATGGAAAAACTGAAATTAAATTACAATGCTCATCTTATTAAAGTTTGCTCTGTGCTACATATATGTTCCACTAAAACACAGTTATGCAAGTTTATTCAATGGAGGGAGGCAACCAAGAAGTAAAAACTAAGTTATATTAAAGTTATAGTACCTGATGCCAGTTTGTGTCATACACAGTCGAGAAAAAATTTCACAAATGAGAAGACCTAACTAATTTCACCTGTTCTATGATTAGTCTTATTGTTATGCAGCCATTCTCAAAGATATTTGTCATGCTAGGAAGACAGCCATACAACTTTTTGTCAAATCTTTCAAAACTTCTTTTTTGCATTTGGTAATTAAGCATTCTAAACATGATTTGGATGAATGACTCCCAAAATACGACTTTTTTTACACAGTTTGATTTGTGATTTCTTCATTTTACAGCCTTTTAGTAAAGTTCAAATTACATACGATCAAGTGCGAGCTTTACAGCTAAGACAATGTCCAAGGCACAAGGGGCATAATGGATGGCCTTTCGCATACAGGGAATTTTCAACCATAGCATTAATCTTCCTCCTGGTGATTTCACATTCGAGAATAAAAAAAAGAAACCTTAAGAATTATGTGGCCGTTTAAGAAATGTTGAGCAACTATTTATTACTATCATTGCAACTCATAGGAGCAGAATAAAGAGCACGGATACTGACACAGACAAGGGATACCTTGATCAATGACAGTGAAATCCTTGCCATTGTACTAACTAAAGAAAAATGGATCAGAATGAGCATACCTTGATCAATGATGGTGACTGCACGCCGCTGAGTAAAGATCCTGTTCTTGCATTGGCATTTTCTGCATTTCCAGACTGTTGCTCATACTCAAGATAGGAATCTAATTTTGAACAAATACTGACTATATCCTTGCAGGGCATCTCAATCTGAGGATTACTTGAGTCATTTGTCAGTATCACTAATTTACAATTCCAGTTTATATCCGGACTTTCAGATGGATAGTCATGTAACCCAATGGGCAGGGGAATATAACTAACCACAGCTACATGTGTGTCGGTGCCAGGAAAAAGTATTAAGCCTTCCTTGTATTTAATCTGGAAAAGCTTTGTGCTTTCTCCAATTAAACTAATCTTAACAACATTCAAGAGATGAGGAGTGCCATTTCTCAGCAAGAGAGCAACAACAACAGTATCACTGGAATCGCATGGCAGTAGAGTCTCAAGCGATACTGAAACAGCATCTATAAGATCATTGGCCGATTCCCCACCTAGTTCTGCTTCAAGAGGAACCACAATTGTATCTGACTTATCTTGAGAAGGCCTAAGCAACTGCATACAAAATGCACCAGAAATTTTTCCTGCAGCGTAATATGTGAAGTCTATCTCTATGACGGCCTCAGTGCTACCAGGACCAATATCCCAATTTCTATAAGGCCCCATTGCCATTTGTGGCGAGTCAACTTGACCACTTTTGGCATGCAGCACACTATGCTCTTCAGAACCTTGAAAATTTTCTATTCTACAGATTGCCTTTGACAAATGTGAAGTATTCCCTATCGAAACTGATATCCACACAGTTACTTCCTCCACATAGAGTGTTTCATCAAAAGGATTAAACAAAGAAAATTTCTTAGTCCACCTTCCACCGGAGGAAACATCCAGGCCTGCTAAAGCCCGTAGCCCATAAGGGGACTCGACAGCAAAACCTTTAGCCTGGATCAAGAAACCACCGGAGCTTGTCTGCAAGATCAGATGAGCTGAGGACATACCTAACCATGTAGGTAAAAACACAAAACAAATTGAAGCAACTTCACCCGGTCCCAGAAACAACTCGCTAAAATTGCAAGGATAAAATTGTGTGTTGGTACTGAAAGGTTTGTATATGCATAAAATGCTGTCGCTGTGTGTATTTGCCACAGTTAAAAAAGAAAACGAAGGAAAATATAAATATTTCTGTCCCCAGTCAAGTAGAGGAGGGCTTATTTCAACATTGGGTGACAGAGAACCATCCAAAAATCCCGATTTGATCATCTTCATCTCAGAGTTCTCGTTCAAGTTGGGACTTGGGCTCTTCTGATTACCAAAAGGTCCTCCACATGAAGAAACATAGTTTTGATTACCTTTACTTGTTTGAAGAGATGAGATGTCGTGGATTTCATCTTGGGAGTTCAAAGAACAAGAAACAGCCCGTCCACTTAATAACTTAAACATACCATAGTCCAATGACCAACTTAAGTTATTTCTCGCTTGAGTTGATCCTTCAGGTAATTTAGCACCAGGCTGAACTGGAGACACCTCTAGAACAGTTGATTCAGGACTACATCCTTTACACAAAAAACCCGGCAATGTAGAAGGAAAGCAGAACAAATTCGAATTGCTACATACATTCTCAAGACTTAGGTGGCCCATTCCCGAAACACACCCTGAACTTACATCACGAACATATGCATCCTGAAACCCTGGATTATAATTATCTGTGCAGGACTCACACAAATCATATTCCACGGAACTCGGCATCCCATTTATGGAACACAGTCCACATGCAGCAATGCAGAAAAGGGTACATATCAGAATCACCAGAAAGTAAAATGGTCTGGCTTGGTGAAACAACACCCTGAATAAACCACCAAAACATATAATGTTAGATGCTATAATTTCCATTTACTAAACACATAACTTGAATGGCAAAAAAACTACTTGCAAACAAAAAAAAAAAAAAAAAAAACACTAAATAGTATGTAACAAAACAATAAAATTTGAGCAAAAGTTTCAAAAAGAAACCATAGTATCGTGTTAAAGCACAAGTGAAATGAAAATATCAAAAACTGCAGCCCACACAAAAAATTTGAAAAAGGAAAATTTCCACATTTTTTTTCTTTTTTTTTTGCAATTCAGCAGGTAATAGTTAGTCAATCAATTTTTCCATAATTTTGAATATGGGTTAGTCTTGTTAATTACTTCTACTTAATGTTTTTTGGGACAATTATTACTATTTACTTAATGTTTTTTGCGTTTTATTCATAGATTCCTATATATGTAGAAATGGGAACTAACATGGCCATTAATAGCTATAACCAAAAATTAACAAACAGTCATAAATAAACAATAAAAGCTCCAAAACGAAAGAAAAAATAATAATAATAGCAAACTCAGTAAAAGTTCCTGTAACAGAGACTTTCTTGAAGATACTGGGAAATCACCAAAACAAGTCATTATCACCACAAAAACCACTCTTTATCTTACATAACTAACTGAAGAAGAAGAAGAAGAAGAAATACCCATTAACGCACAAGAAAGAAAAAATTATAAATCGATCGTTAAAACTCGAAAAATGGTAACGAGAAAGAGTGAAATAATCGATGAAATAGGGAAAAAACTGTACACACACACACACACACAGAGAAACAAGGAGAATCGATGATCGGAAAGGTAGAAAAACTGGTGTTTGGAGAGAGAGGAAAGGAGGGAAAGGAAGAGAAAATATGGGAAGACGTGAAGAGAGTGTTGGAAGAGTTACCTTCGGTGGCAGGACATGGAGAGCTGTAGGTGAGCTCTGATTAATAGGGACTCCATCTCTGAGAATCGAAATAGAACATCTGGATTCTTCGTTGATAGTGGATTTTCTAGGGTTTTTTTGCTTTCGATTCAGGTCCAAATTCTTAGAACTCAAGTACAGACACACATTCATACACCTGATAAACAACGAATGAATAGGCCTCGGAGAACGAACGAGAAAAAACGAGAGAAAATCACCCTTCCTCGAAAATTACCATACTACCCCCACACATATATGTTTTTTTTATTTTATTTTATTTTATTTTTTTTGGAGGGTCACATAAAAGCCAATCCCAAATTCAACTAGGAATTATTTCACATGGCTATGTTTAACTTTAATTTGAATTTGTTTTCCGATTTTTTTTTTAAAAAAATAAAAATTAGTTTGAAAATTAAATATTAAAAATTATTCTCACACCAAAAAAGTTAAAATTATATGAAAAATATTGAGTGTTTTATTTTTATTTTTTTATCCCAAATTAATTTTTAGATTTTCTTTTCTTTTTTTGTAAATTTTTCAAAAAAATTAATTATAAAAATCAAATCATATTGAATATTTCTCAAAAACAAAAAGACAAAGCAGGCTTTTTATATTTTTCAAAATTATATTAATTGGGACGTTACATACATTTGTCCCAAGAGCATTATATAATTTTTTATATTTGGTGATATCATTTCCTGTCGTGATGTATTAAACCTATTAAGCCTTCATTTGACATAAGTTAAACGGAGTTTTTTAGCTAAAATAGTCACAAAAAGATAAAATAGACTTTTTAGTTCAATAATACAAAATGTCATATCCAAACTATAATTATTTAATTTTTCTCTCACAAAAATTAAAAAAGTCAAAAATTCTATCACGAACGAAACTTTTTTTAATTCCAGACTAAAATAATCAAAAAATTAAAATGTCAAATAATCAAACCATATCCCAAACGAATCTAAATGGTATGCAAAAAAACCATCAATTGAACCAATTCAAATCGACCAAATTCGTTTGGAAAGTGGGTTAGCTTTTTGACTTTTTGGCTTTTTTGGTTATTTTAGCCTGGGTAAAAAAACTTGATTTGGGAAAGGCTTTTTGACTTTTTTTGTGAGAGAATAGTGTAATGATTATGGGTTTGATGTAATGTTTTATTTATTATAATTAAAATAACTTATTTTATCTTTTGTAACTAAAATAGCCACAAACTATCTTCCCAAACGGTGCTACTCACCCCATTTTACAAAGTGAGTGGGTTGAGTTGGCTGCGTTTAATGGTAAAAATTGAAAAGTTAGTTGGTTGGAAAGTTGATTTGTCAATTTAACTATAAACATATATAATCCGCTTATACATATATATAAAATTATCTTGCCCTAGTCCACACAATTTCTCCGCAATCCCATTTACCATTAATCTGATGGCACCTCTCATTTTCCCTTCTTCTTTTTTTTTTTTTATTTGAATGTTGTATATTAAAATTTAGACAGTACAATTTTACATAACATTGTATATTCGATTAATTTGTGTGTTGTATCAAAATTTAGGCCTCGTTTGGGAAGACTAAATAAGTGCATTTTTTGACTTTTTATAAAATATGGATTGGGTTTGGGTTGGGTTTGAAGTGATGTGTTAGAGAGGTGATGTGACTTAAACAAGATGATGTGACTTTTTGACTTTTTGTCTTTTTTCAATCATGCCAAATTTGGCCTTAAAATAAATAACAATTTTTTATTTGAATTTAAAAAGAATATAAGTTTGTATGTTTATTAAAAAAAAATTCTCACTTTGTATTTGTAATTCGTTCAACTTGTTCAAATCATTAGATTGAAATCATCAAATTTTTTAACAAATCTATTATCAATTTTGAGAATAAATGTGTTGGCTGTGAGTTGAATTCAATCAATTAAAGGTAATTTGATTGACCATTTTTTTGGAAACCAACCCAAATTGACTCAGGCACGCCCCAACCCATTGTTGTGTTTAGAACTAACAAACATAATTAAACTAAGGTAAGAGAAAAATTTTAATTTTGAATAGGTATTGTTGATGAGAAGTTCGAAGACTTTGGCTTGTTTTGGCAAGTGAATAAAAAGTTATTTTTTGACTTTTAATTTATTTTAAGTCATATTATTTTTATTTTTTTTACATGTTTTTTAAAAAAAAATTCAACTTTTAATCTACTTTCAAAAACAACCCTTTATTAATGCTACATTACAAAAAATCACATTAATTGGATATCGATAGCTATGTGATCAAATCAGTTTTGTATAAAAAAAAATGGACGGTGAAAAAATTGATGGTTGATAAAAAACTGTATTGTTCACATAGCTATCGATATCCGATCAATGTGATTTTTTACAGGCATATAGTACTCGACGAGTTCTACACATTGAACGATTTAGATTATCAAAACGGAACCCGTGATGGACCCTCACGAACCCAACAGCACGGTCCAGTCCGATCCCAGACTGGACAGAAGCCATGGCCTTCAATAAACTTGCGCTTGTGATGTGAAGAGTTCTCGGGGCTGTGTATCAAAATAAATGTAAACACCAAACCACTGAAATTTTAATGACTTAATGTCTAAAATAATTTTAATTTTAATAGGATAAATCATTTTAATTTTAATAGAGTAAATTACATAAGTAATTTTTAATTTTTAATTTGTGTCAATTGTATCACTGAACTTCACATATTAACTCAATGAATATAATTTCAATCTTAAAAACATTTACACCAGCATCACAATCAACTATTTAAATGACAATTGGAGAAATTTATCTCACTTTCTGCATAAATAAACTATGGCATACGTAAAATGCAAATTCAAATCTTTCTATCCATTATTGGACCGATCTATTACAAAAAATGATTATTGGGAACCAAATGCCCGTATTTGGCTTTTTGATTGATGATATCTTGTATAAATAGATGCATTAGAATGTCCTTAATGTTATTCAATATGTGAGGTTGGTGTAATTATTTTTCCTATATTTTTTAGATGACAATTAAGGGAAGAATTGCATTAAATTAATGTGTGAAGTTCATGATGCAATTGATACAAATTAAATATTATGGACCAAATGAAATAGGTATTATACTTTATGAACAATTTGTGTAATTTACTCCTATCTAAAAAAAAATAACTTTTCAGGGTTTTTTTTTAATAATTTAATACATAAGTCAAGATTATTGACCACACATTTTAAAATAAAAAGGTTAAAATCAAATTACTCAAATTTAATTTATATTTGTCTAGTTAAAAACTTACTATCAATTTATTATGTTTTAGCTGAGCCTGATAAACTTATTATATTTACTGTAGAATTACGTAAAGTTTTTTGAGCTAAATTCCATCTTAATTGAAATTCATTTGAAATCTACTCGAAAGGTTAATAAATTAAGTTTGACTATGTTTGTTAAATTCATTAAAATTTTAAATCAAGCTTACACAAAAAAATTTAAGCATATTTTATCATATTTAACAAATTTCATACGAAACTATTAAATTATGAAAAATACTTCATGAAGATGGTCATGACAGAATTTTTATCATTGTATTGTAACTTATTGCATATGAATCTAAGGATAAAAAATCTTTCATGATCATTTTTATAAAATATTTTTCATAATTCTTTACATTACTCTTAAATTATTGACTACTTAATCCATTCCACTTCTTTATATTGCATATTAAAACTTGTTAAGAAGGTAAAATAATTGAGTTAGAAAGTGGAAAGTCTGTCTTGTCTTTTATGGGCAAATTACATATACACCCCTCCAGGTTTGACAAAATTACAGATACCCCCTGAGGTTTGAGAAATTACGAATTCCCCCCTGAATGTTATATTTGCATAAGAAATTAGGGGGTAATTTGTTATAAAATATAAACCTCAGGGGGTAAATTGTTATGAAAATACAAACCTCAGGGGGCGGGATGTAATTTCCGAAACCTCAGGAGTATCTGTAATTTAACCAAACCTGGAGGGGTGTATATGTAATTTGCCCGTCTTTTATTATGTTCAAAGTTGTTGCCACCTATGTATTACGAGGATACACACTAGTCTACTGTGATTCAAGGCCAATAATATAAATTTTTTTTAAAAAAAAAAAATCAGAATAATAGGTCGTGGACTTTACATATACAACCTACTATTTATCTCATAAATATATTTTATTTTGGCCTATTTTAAAAATTTGGTTAAAAGTCATATTTTAATTTTAACCTATATTGAATCATATTATTTCTTAATTTTTTATATATTTTTTTAACAAAAATTAACTTTTTATTTTTAACTTTTTAACTTGCTTTTCAAAATAAGCTTTGTACGTATATTTTATGTTCATAAGAAGTGGGGGTATATTGGGAATATAAAGATACAAACACTTGATCAAGTGCCTAAAGGCAATCATACAACAATTTGGTATTAAATTTTTACAAAAAAGTTGGTGGGTGATGGCCTAGCCTAGATGCCCTACAAAAGCAAAGTGGGTCCCATCCCATATGCAATGCTCCTTTGTTTTCTCTTTCACTACTATTTTTAATTTTTTAAAAAAAAAAAATTGTTTGATTAAATATAAAAAAAGGCATGAACTTTACATGCATAGTAAAATATTACATGTGATATGCACCTCAGTGATGTCTTTTAGATGTCCTTCCAAAAATTGACTAATAGAGCCATGAATTACCAATTCAAATTGAGAACTATGTCTTTTGGTTCATTTTTAGTAGTGGATTTAAGGAATAATTAATGGGGATTTGGTCAAAATTTCCCTTAATAAATTTTTAATGCATTAAGATAGATATAAAAATAAATAAATAAATAAATAAAAAGTTTAACATATACCATTATTATCAAAATATTAAACTTTAAAATAATATAACATTAAATTTAGATGTCGATTTTTAGTAAAATTAGTATTTTTAAAATCTTCTAATTAAGATCTATTAAATAAGATCCATATTGACTATGAAATTCTTAAAATAAAATAAAAAATATTATCGTCGAAATTGATATAAACAGTAACATGTTACCCTATTTGATAGTAACATATTACTTTCATTTACAGTACCATGTTACTTTGACAATGTTGTCTAAGAAAAAAATATATTTTATTGTGTCCTTACTCAATTATGTGCCTCTTCCTTAGAGAGTTTATGAAGCAAAATAAATTAGATTGTCC